TTAACTAAAATAAAAATTACAATAGAGCGTAATCTAAGGTTTGAACTTTTTGAAAGAAAATAAAAAGATGCATCTTAATCACTCAAACTGTTTTCTAAAAACCTTAATTCAAGTTTGATATAGTTTATATACTACTAAGTACTAACATAGTAACATTTGTTTTCTTGCGTATGTTCTATACGTTGGATCCATTATACACTTATTAGGTTATATATTTCGTCTTGACTACACACCGTTTTATATTTCTTTCGGTACTCGAAACCGACGTTAATGTTTGGGGGTGGATCCCCAGTTAAAACCTAAAAGCACTCATTAATATATTTTTGTCCACATCAAAGAAAAAAATCTCACTCGATACGAAGAGATTAATTATAATAATTATAAAGTTTTGGTGGCAAGACAGAGAGAGTGTATGGTTGAATGTATTTTTCCCATTCATACGCCATGACGCGTTGGTACTCTACGCCATACTTGAGACTTCCCCATTCCATCCATATTCAAGGCATGACATCTCATAGCAAGAATCATCAAGTCTTCTCTATACAATCTTATTCATACTTCATAATCTGAAAGCTCTAGTTACTTTATACTACATTACAAATTCACAACGCTTTCAAATCGCTAAACACACACGATGCCCTCGACCTTTTTTGTGATGCTTACCAATCATTTTATTTACAAAATGAATATAGATATAGATAAATACATTATGCTCAATCTTACTTGATATGTTCAACCCACAATGTATTGCATATTCCAAAAATTTAGTTTCCAAAACTGTTCTACGTACTTCGAATCTGATGCAAAAACATCTTTGCTTTTTTTGGTCAACTACCAAATCAAGAGAATCTCTAAAAATTAGTTTTCCACATAACTTTATTTTAATGACTAGTGATTTCGAAAATTGTATTTTGGTTACTTCTTGTATTGTTGATGGTATTAAAATATTGGCTTATTGCACTATCAATTAGCCTCTTCACAACTTATATTTTTAATTTTAAAAGAATCGTGGGTCGTGTGGCCATAACTTTGATAAAACAGTCTTTATCGACATAACCTAACTGGGTGGTGATTCAACGTCGAAGCCAAACAGCTCCTTTAACAGTTGGACCAATGTAGAGAGCTGAGCTGGAATACAAAAGTATGACACGTTTTCATGCTATTGGACTGTCCAAGGCCCATCCTAAAATGTCGTCCGTTTCGAAGCATCCACGAACACAGACGGTGCCACATGTTGAAAAAAGATTAGCGTTTTCGACGGTCAAGATTGTCTCCACGTCATCCATACTTCTAAATATTCCACGTGTCAGGCACAGCTGGCGTCAAAGATTTACGTTTTCGTTGTTGCTGATTTTGCGCGTAGTTCACACGTGCAACGAGCTTTTTGTACGCGTGCGACGGTGACCACGTCGTATTAACACATTGTGTGATGATGATTCAGCGTTAATGACTAAGATATCAAAAAAGTTTAGTTTTAGCTGTATAAAAATATTTATCTACATAATGTAACCCCCAATTTTATTTTATTTCAATTTAGCCCACAATATAGGTTCAGATGTGAGTTACTATTCATCTTATTTGAGATATCATGTCACTATTATTTCTTCAAAGATTTAAAAGATATAATGATGCTATTAAAACTTACAGAAAATAGTATTTGGAAGTTTGGTAGGGTTAATGGGAAAAACCTGAAAAAAAAAAAAAAATAATAAAGAAGATTGATGAGATGGCCGGTGAATCAGATAGCCGTCCTAGAAACGTGGTTGGTTTTTGCAAGCTCATATCTACTACTACTCTTGACAACTACTTGAAATCCCAAATGTCACAGTACTTCTCCTTTACCCACAAAATAATGTGAATTTTTGTTATCAAGAGAAACAGCTAGTAGATATATGTTTTGAAACATTTTAAAGCTTACCTTTCTTTTGGACATGTTATATAAGAGAGGAGAAATATAAAAAGAATGTGTTAATTGTACCATTTGTTAATGTTCTAAAACGTGATTTCATTATTTTCTGGTTAAAGGGTAGTAAGTTTTACTTGCAGGTTCAAAAATTATCGCAGAGTACCAATGTTTTAGATTTGATCCTACCATCATTGCGAGGAAGGTTGTTAGTTTAAAAGAAATTAAAAGAATTTTATGCAAATGGGCAATCATGATGTCTGCTAATTTAGTAAGTAAATTATGATGCTTGTTGACGTGAACATATTAGTTTGCAAAAAAAAGGGATACACAGAGAGAAGCTCAGATATTCACGTAACCCATATGTTTCCTTTGTTCTTATGGTGAAACCAATTGGTCATATGCTATTGAGCCTACGGGATTGTCATTTCACGCCGAAGCTACCAAACTATTCCATCTCTCATTATACATATACGTATATGCTTTGTTTTTATCAAACCACTCTTTCACGAGGTCATAACAATTTAAAATGTTTTAGACACAAGAAATAAAAGATTTGTAAAGAAACATTGATATTGTGTCGCAAAATTTCAATTAAAAGAGTATTTTCGTGATTGTAATGTGTTTAAATATACTCATATTTTTGACACATGTATCTCAAACTCAAGCACGTACGGTAGAAGTTTGTATCAGAATTTACCAATGTATGAAGATGGTCAAAGGTTAATATTTTTTTTGCCAATTTTTCCTTAACTATAACCATAGATCATCAGAGCCGTGACCAATCGAGTCAACATGACTTAGCTTCTTTATATATATATTCACGCATGTTGATCTAATATCATGGACATTACTCTAAGATCGATTCCAGTTACAAAGTGGTTTAGGAGTTATCTATATTTTCTAATGGGAAAAAAAAAAAAAGATAATTCGTTTAAACGATCAACAATAGAACAAGAAACCGTATGCATAACAACTTCTAAATATATAAAAATCTATTTTTACTATATAAATCTAGTAGAGTTAGCCCAACATTCTTACAAGATCACTTACAGATCATTGGGAAACTAAGATAAAACCAAATAAATTACATCATAACACCTTGAATGATGAACAATATAAGCAACTTCTTGATGGTTGTGTCTTTAATCACAATGATGTTCTCAACACAAATCTCTTATTCGGCGATGTTAGACGTTTGCATCGAACATTGCGTGGTGAACAAGTGCTTGAAAGAGGTCAAACATGCGACTCCATACATATGTCATTATGCTTGCAAAAGAAGGTGCCTCCAAAGTGAAAAGAATTTTCATGGTGTTTAAATCTTTCCTTTGAACGGTTAATTCAAGGACTAGTGGTTTCTGCAAATTTGAGAACAATTGCAAAATTACGGATGCTCTCAAATTGTATTCTTTCTTTGTATAATATATAGTTGAAGCATACATCATAAATAAATAAAACAGTATTGCATAAGTTTATATGGGTCGCGTATTTGGTTTATTTCAATCCAAATTTTTTCGCCATAGTTTTTTTGGTCATTTTGTTTAGTTTCTCATGAAAAAAAATTAACGGCGTTTTAGTTTGGTACTAGTTTTCAGTTCTTGGTATTCCATTATTTTCTGAAATCTTTATTCTAAACTATTTGTATCAAAAAGTAACAACAATAGAAAAGCCTAACTAATCAACCAAAAAAAAAAAAATATAGACCTCAAAAATAAGTAATTTCTAAATGTAGTTACAGAAACGTTGCCATATACAAACAAAATTTAATGTGTGCGTCAAGAATCAATGTAGGAAAACTACTATCAAAGGAGCCAATAGAAATTACACTGTATGATTTCCAATATGTAACTCGTATTAATGAGAAACACTAGTCACTTTTTAGGATAGATCTTCAGAGTACTTGCTAGATACTTTTAATTGTAATAAGAAATTATCGTTGACAGTTTGGGAGTTAGGTTCTTGAAGAAAGGATGAGAAAAGCCGGATTAGGTTTAAATTTTAATTCGAGTTACGCCAATAAAGTTTTGTTCTTTTTTTTCTTTCTTTTGTCTCCATTACTTATATTGAAAATTTGCGAAAAATACAAATGAAACCTTTCCAACACGCCGTCAAAAAACATAACGCATGACTTTTGTTTAAAAGTCATTTTCTGGATATTGTAAATTATGATATTTGCTCAATTATAATATCATTAATGTGAATGTGAACAATATATATATATATATATATATGTGTGGCAAATTATCTACCATATGGCATTTTTTTTTACCGCAAAAAAAAAAACCTATGGCATTTTAACATGATTTATGAAACTTTAAATATGTGAAACTTTAAGATATATGTAAGATTTAATGAAATAAATTCTCATGAAATCACTCTTAAAAATGTATAGAAGAAATTCAGTAAGATACACAATACTAATAATTATTTTTATTTGTTTTGTAACTTCTTTTGAATTGTTTCTACCAAAATTATCCAAATATAGATTGGTAAGAACTAATACATCAATACATAAAGCCACAAAAACTTTTCTACACCCTCAGATTATTGGAGTGTTGGTTTATTAATTTTTTTGATTAAGTAAGAATTAGAATATGAATTAGCAACATGCATCTAAACACCAATATCTTTTTAAGTTTTTCTTAAAATATTTAAAAATGCTAGTTCAAATAAAAATTAATTAGAATAATTTTCTTTTTTTTTAAACAGTAGATTTACACTACATTATACAACTCACTATTGTAATTTATTTATTTAAAATATACCAAAATTGCATTTTAAGTAAAAGGAATCTTTTCAAAAATAATTTCTAATTTCATTAATTAAGATACAATGAATTTGTAGCGAAACGTATATTTTCTTAAACAAATACATAGATAAAATTACGCCACGTAAATCTTTCTCAACCATTCGATAGACGAATACTTTCTTGATTAAGCATATATCTTCAGAAAATGTCAAAACACCATTTAACTATAAGCAAAGAGAGCCTCATGTGCATAAAAAATGTTCATATTATTCATCATTCTTACTTAATTAGCTTTGGTAATTAGTGAAACAAAGAACCAATGAGAGAAGAGCAGTGGGGTTAGTTTGACTGGTCACTAAGCCAATGAACTTAGCCAATGGGAAAGAGATATGGCGACCTCGTAAGAACCGCCTCCTTTGCCATTTGTATCATCTCTCTATAAAAACCACTCAACCATCAACCTCTCTTTGCATGCAACAAATCACTCAAATAATTATTTTATAAAGAACCAAAGAGAAAGAAAAAAAAAAAGACGGCAGAGAAACAATGGAACGTGGAGCTCCCTTCCCTCACTATCAGCTACCAAAACCCAACTCTGGTAAGCCAATATAAGTGGTTGTTTATACACAATTTACACTTTCCTCTGCCTCCATTCTATCCATATGCTCATGAAAAATTGGAGACTTGCTTTGTGATTTTTATGTGTCTTTCCAAGAAAAGAGAAGTAGAGTTTTTCCTATCTTGAAAATTCAGATTTTGTGATAGTTTTCAGGAATTGCTTGTTGAAGGCGATTTTACATACATGCATAAGTTTCATGTGTGTGTGTATGATACTCGTGTTTGTATCCGGGATGAGTCAATGTTTTTAATGGCGGATGATCTTTCAAAGTTCATATGTCTTCATTGAATGTTCTCCTGCATGCACTAGGAATGTTTTTGACTATCATTTTCCTCTTTTTTGTGCTTTTTATCAAATTTTATGGTTCGTTTTTCTTTTTCCGTCTTTTATGTTTCTATGTCTAAAAATGTAGTAGATGAAATTTTATATACAAGCTTTTGTTACAAAGTTTTTATTTTTTTTGGTTTATATATAACAGGAAACTATATTATAAGATTTTATTGATGAGGAATATTTATTTATTAGTTTTCTCACTGTAACGGCTGAGTTTTTTCTCTGTTTCAAACGAAATTCTCGTTTGTCTGAAAACATCTACGGTAGATAAATACACTCAGTTTTTCTAACATCTATGGTTAATTCAAAATCTATTACTAGTAATTTTGTCCAAATACTCCTTTTACTATGGATTTTTTTTTTTACTGGATTGTCATTAACTTAACTTTAATCTTGTGATTCTTTTAACGTCTTCTTAACATTGGGAACCTTCACATGAAATAAATGTCTACTAACTTGAGTCATACCTTTTTCTCTGTAAATTAAGTGATGTTCTTCTCCAAATTTTGGTTTTTTCCTAACGATTTTTTTCGGGAACACGCGTTTATACTACTTATGCATAGTGATATTTAATATAAAAGTTTGAAGTATTTCAAGAAGAGGAAAGATCCTTTTTCACATTTTCATTCTACATAACTTATAAAAACGTAACGGCAAGAATCTGAACAGTCTTATTCAACAGAAAACTTAGACCCCACAAAACTTATCTTATTGGTCCGTTACTAAGATAGTTGATACTTCTTGTTTTCTCGTATTCTATAAAAATTAATTTTTCATTTCTACTTCAATTAATCCACTTGTAACTATGAACAGGATTGAACTTGGACCAGCTCACTAACGCAAACCCAATGACTAGCTCAGTCGCCGTAGCCGGCTCCAGTGACAAGAACAAGGGGCAGCAACAACAACCATGTATGGCTCGTGAGCAAGACCAATACATGCCAATCGCTAACGTCATTAGGATCATGCGTAAAAACTTACCGTCGCACGCCAAAATCTCCGACGACGCTAAAGAAACGATTCAAGAATGCGTCTCCGAGTACATCAGCTTCGTGACCGGTGAAGCCAACGAGCGTTGCCAGCGTGAGCAGCGTAAGACCATAACTGCTGAAGACATCCTTTGGGCTATGAGCAAGCTTGGGTTCGATAACTACGTGGATCCACTCACCCTGTACATCAACCGGTACCGTGAGATAGAGACGGATCGTGGGTCAGCGCTTAGAGGTGAGGCGTCGTCGTTGAGACAGGCCTATGGAGGAAATGGTATTGGGTTTCACGGCCCACCACATGGCCTACCTCCTCCAGGTCCTTATGGTTATGGTATGGTTGATCAATCCATGGTTATGGGTGGTGGTCGGTACTACCAAAACGGGTCTGGTCAGGATGGATCCGGTTCTGCTGGTGGTTCTTCGTCTTCTATCAATGGAATGTCGGTTTATGACCCATATGTTCAGTATAAGTGAAGATTTAACCATTCTTCATTTCTTCTATTCAAAGCATCATGTGTTTGGATAGAGATATTTTAATTATATGTCTTATCAAATAACATTTCTATGTAATATATATTGCTTAATGGTTATGCAAGATTACATGATTTAAAGGTTTTTTGTAATTATAAAGCTGTGTGTCATAGTTAGAAGATAACCAAACGATATAGGAACCAAGTTTACTTTTTGAGTTACTCTTTCTCTATGTAAACAAACCAAAAAGGTTACAAAATCAAAAATGAAGCAAGTGGTCCAAATGCACTGACCACATAAACACTTTAATAACCAAAATATATGTTTTTTGTGAGGCTCTCAAGTCTAATGCACAGCAGTATATGCTATTTATAGTGTTGACTGTACCAAAAGATTTTGTTTTAAAATGCGAAGGAAAAAAGCCTTCAAACATATATTTATTTTACTTTTAATTTGTCACAGTCTTTCCCTCAATGTAACCTCCACTCCTCTCTTCCTACTTCCAATTTCATGATCATCTCAAAATCTAATAAAAATAACAATTCGTTTGCTCTTTGTTAGTGACAAAGAGAAGTTGGACAATGCTAAAGCCCAAAAGGCCCAGTCGCAGAAAAGACTCAGCTGCAGCAGAAGAAGACAAAAGCTTCCTTCAGTATCACCTTTAGAGGAAAACGTTAGAGAAGAGAGGCTCCTCCTGCAAAACCGTTTTGATACCCTTCAATATACTACAGACAGATGAAGACTAGTCAATGATACAGCTGTAGATGAAGATGCCCTAGTTCTAGATTGTTCCATTACTCTATAAAACCCATTGTGTAAGCTCATTGAGCAACTTCTTTCACTCTCAAGATACATCCAAAAAACCAAAGAGATATGGAAGCTCACCATCGTCAAGTTGCAGCACTGGAGAATCGAATTCGATTGATGTTTCCAGCTCTGAACATCGTCTTCATCACTGTCGTGCCGCATCTCCTCTCGCCAGTCGGTCTCAACCCAACGCATCCAGCTCCGGGGATGACTCCGGCGACGTTTCGAGCCATAAAGATAGCATCTCAGAGTTTCTGGCCGTTGAACAAACTAGGCCTCGTCTCTGCTCTCGCTGCGTTGTTTGTCCTGGTCTTCAGAACTCCTCTGCCTGGTACGGTTCCACTTCGAGACGAGCGAGTCTCCATCGTGTTCATGAAGATGGCTTACCTCTCGACGTTTCTCTCGTTTGTGTGTTTGTTTCTCTTTAGACTCATGTGTTCAGACATGTTTCTCTCTGTTGTCTTTTTCGTCAGCAATGGAGTCATGTTTTTGGTCTTCTTCTGCTCCTGCTTTCGCCTCGTCAAGCTTCATGCCTAGCTAAGAAGAGTGTTTGGTTCAAGACCTTTAATTGTGGTTCTCTGTTTCTGGTTTAAGTTCAATTTTCCGGTTGCTGTTTTGGTTCTCTTTTCGAACCTTATGTTTGTCACTTATTTCTATAGTTCAAGTTCAATTTCCGGTTATTGTTTTGGTTCTCTTTCGGTTATGAAATATAGTGTTTAAAGCTAATGGAAGAAGGCATACGTATTACAACTACAAGTCTCAAATACTCGATAATCCAAAAAATTATATAGAGTATCAACAACTGATGTTATGCCACTGGATTTAATGTAACTAGCACACCGGTTTTCTAAACCGGGAATCAGCAACTGAACGAAGTGTAAACCGGAATCAGAATCCGTTACACATCAACGATGATTCGCTACACCCAACACTATATAAAAGCCCTATTCTCATAACTTGCTTCACACGAATCTTCTCTTTTGCTCGAGTCGAGTTCTCTGATACTCTCTTATAAACTCACTTCAATCTTCATCTTTCCTCCAAGATTCTTGAAAAAAAAACATGGCTGGTGTTGTTCGTCAAGCTCAAGCACGAGAAGATCGTCGTCGTCGAGATCAAGCAATTCAAAACGGTCGACTTATCACAGCGATACTCGTGGCCTTTCTCATCTCTAATCTCATGACGATTCGCAGAGGTTTTAGCCTCTCAGACCTGAATCCGGGAACAAAGACGACGGAGGAGGCGGCTAGATACGTGGCGGTCCTCGGTTGGGTGTTATCGCATGTCGACAAGATAGCGTTTGGGTTGGCTGTGATTGCGATGGTGAGTATCGCTGTTGTGCCGGTGAATCTTCCCGATTCTTTGGAGAGGATACAGAGAGCTCAAGTTATCGCCGGCAAGTTTCTGATCGCCACTCTTATCTCACAGTCTTGCTTGTTATGCTTTCACTTGTTCCTCCGGTGAATCGGATCCTCTCCTCTGTTTTCATTATGAACACGACGTCGTTTTAGTTGAGAATTATAAAACTCTTGTTTCTTGTTTTTTTTTTTATTGTTTACTTTTCATTTTGTTTGTTTGGTTTCTATAATATGATTGGGATATTTGGATTGTTATACATTGTTTTGATACATTCAATATATACATGAATGCTCGTTTAGATGTCATATATTCTGTTGTACTTTTATCAAGAAGATTGTAAAAACAATTTGAAGATCCAAAGGAACAGAGAGATTAATTAAAGGATTATACGTTTTCTTTAAAGAAAACTTTGGTCGTTATTGATATTATATCAGAAGAGTATATATAAATCACATTTACGTATGCACAGTGATCTGGTGTTAACTCTGTTTTAATGAAATCAATATGTAAAGTGAAAGGCGTAAATGCAAGCTGGTTTTGCTAGTCTCAAGATATCAAAATTCAATACAATAGTGTCAAAGTGATTAGCTTAATTAGCAAAACACAAGCTCAAAATAGCTCAAGATTGAAAAACCTCAAATATCTAAGCTCCTTTGCACCCTTTTAACCTGAACCTCAAGTATTAATCATCACTCTTGACATGGCAACTCGAAACGGCACAATGGACAAGCATGATTGATCAAAAACCACTTCACAATGCAAGTATCGTCAAACTCGTGTCCACAAGGTAATGTCACGACTATTTCATCCTTTCCAAACCCCTTCATACAAATTGAGCACTTGTTGTCATCAGAGTTGGACGACGTCTTCATCTTCTTATCATTCTTAAATATTCTCCTTGCTAAACGATCTACCGAAAGCTTACTTGCCGGTATCATTAACCGGATATTATTGGTGTGAGCTTGAGGAGGAGAGGGAATGATCTTACAGTGAATGTTCACTAACGTAGCACAAACTGGAGAGAATACCATGGACATCAAACTATTATAGATACATTCAGTGAGCTTACGGGTAGCATCGTCAACATATTGGTGGGTGAGCCCTGCTAAGTCCAACCAGCCTTTCAGTTCTTTCAAGTCGCTAGGGTAGGATGACACAACGCTTTCGAAGTCATCGTAAGAGAGAACAAAATTTGGTGTTTCACGATCAATTGATGTGCCCGACACACTTATGCAAATCTTGAGTTTCCCAGCATCTTCGGATTTTGGTTTGAGGTTGATTTCGCCAGCAAAGGTTATTTCCACTTCCATTGCCATTATAGGAAAAACAAAAAAAATGTGATTCGATCTAGTATCGATCTACTAAGGTTTATTAGGTTTTTTTTGTGTGTGTTCTTTCTGTCTTCTTATATAGTAGAGGCACTATATCTAGTATTAGTTTGAGAGAGTACCTAACCTAATTGTAATTTGCGGATATATATCCTTATTATTTTTTTATTTAATTTTACGTTAATTCCGTATATACTCATCTTGGTTGATATGAGATAACATTGATCAAACTATAACTTTACAAAATTGTAAATTAAATGTATGTAACCAGAAACTTCAGTAAACCAAATCCTACATTTTATTAAATAAAGCAAGTGGCACTCATCTACAATACCATCTTTAGTCTTTATTAGCAGCCCACATAAAACATTTAAAGACACTGACAGTGTAGAAACAAAAATGCCGACTGTAAATAACATTGTTGTATTAATTGATCGCTAAAACATTATAACATATAGTCTTTAAAGTTCAAACGATACAAATAATGGTTAATTATAGTCAACTACGTCATGTATCAAATTGGTTCGTCTATGCTTGGTTCAATTTTATATCAAATATTAATACTTAACCAATCTGTATAGACAAAATATTGATTTCCAGTTCGGTAACGAATGAAAATTGTGTAACCCGGTACGTAATTCAGAAAAACCAATTTTGCAATGACCAAAGAGGTTCAGGTCATGATCACCACTCATGGTTATTATAAACCACGTACGTACAGTTCACAGTTAAGACTTTTAAACCATGGTTAGATTACACGAACCCTTCATGCTTTTATAAAACTCCAAAAACCCCTTTAACAGATTTTTCTCTTTCTTTTTTTTTCCTGATTCCGATTTCTTGTATTTTCGTTTTCACAATCTTTCTTCTCAAACCTTTAACATTTGAAGCAAGAGATTCCGATATCGCCATGGATAGAGGAGTTGTTGTGATACGTGAAGAGAGACGTGAAGAAGAGAGACGTCGACTTATCGCTCGTTTCATCGTCGCGGTGTTGCTTGACGTTTTCACAGGCGTCTGCAAGAAGACAGGACACGTGGCGCATCCATGGGCGTTGGAGTTGAACCTGTGGGCGCATCTGTGTTTTACGCTTGTGACTGCCATGATCACTTTTGCTCCGACGACGGTGGTTGAACTGATGAGAAAGATACGAGAAGAATGCGACAAGCTGATTCTCTTGGGATTTCTATGTTTGATGGCCTCTCTCTCCTTCTCTGCTTGTCTCGGGCTAGGCTTGTTCGTCGACGTCTGAGTGTTGTTACTTGAGTTCCTCTGCCGTCCCCACGTCATCAAACTCTCTTTGTCGTTTAGTGAGTGAGACCATCGACAGATGCTAATTACGTACTATCTCTCTAGCCAGAGCTCTCTGCTTTTTGTTTCGTTCTAACCTTTGCTTTGTGTTTTTGATGATATTAATTGATATCGGATTACAAAGATTTCTATCAACCAATGTTTATTCACATAGATAAATCATTAATACTCGTAATAGAATTAAATCGTAAGTATCTCGTAATTGATTCAAGAAAAGGCATCATTGTAGTCTATTTGAAGGATGAAATGTGAAATAATATTGTAATTTTAGAGTAAGACGAAAGTAAATTTAGCGTATTATAAGCCATACGATTAATCATCTTTCCACGTGTCATAAGATGAAGCAACTTACGTTCGGGTAAAAAAAGGGTGGCTACATTGACGTAACGAACATTAATACAAATAATTTAGCAACGAACTAAGTTTTGTAACCAGTATAATTTCATAAATCCATATTTTACTGTGACCACGTGCGCAAGTAATTAATTATAAACCATAGTCAAGAGTTAAAGTTTAACCAGGATTAAGTTATATAAAACCCTTTTATTAATTTAACAAACTCCAAAACAACCCAACCCCTTTCTTTCTACAGATCATTTTGTAGACACTTTGTTTTTTTCACAAAATCTTCGTCTTCTCTTTGCAAGATTCCGAAATCGCAATGGATAATGATGGAGTTGTTGAAATACGTGAGGAAGAGGAACCCGAGAGACGTGAAGAGCTTCGTCGATCGGCCGTTACTTTACTCGTCGCAGTCGCGTTCCATCTTCTCACCCTAGTCGGAAAAAGATCAGCTGGTTTCGTCGTCCCAGATCCATATTCGGGAACGGAGAAGAACGGACACTGGGCCTTGTATTGGGCTTCGAAGTTTATATACAGGATGGCGGAGTTATCGTGTCTGACTGTGATTGTTCAACTCATTTTATCGACGATTGCGACGGTGGTGGTGATGGTGGGACGAGAACGAGAACAAGCACGACACATGCGTAGACTGCGTATAAGCTGCAATAGACAACTGTTTCTGGGTTTCATCTGCTTCACCATCTCGCTCGCTCTCTCGGCTTACCTTCGCTGCTTTGTCTGATTACTTTTAAATCTGCACCCAGAATCTTCACTGGTTTCCTCTCTCTTTGGGTTAATTTGTGGTTTGAACATGACTTTTTCTTGATTCGATGTTTAGTATGAGATGATTTGCTATAACAAGTTTGATTAAAGACGAAAAAGTAAATCGTAGCGTAAATCGTAGCCATTCCATATTATGGTTTCTTGATTACTGAATATTATTATTAATTTGATATCGGATTACAAAGATTTGTATCATGCATTGTTCATTTATGTCGATAAATCAATGCTCGTGTTATAAATTTTTAATCGTAGTAGCTCATAATCAATTGAAGAAAAAGGCATCATTAATGCAAGTAGTAGTCTATTCATTCAATGATACATTACACTGTGAAATTTCAGAGTAAGATAAAAGTAAGTTTAGCGAATTATTATTGTAAGCCATCCGATTTAACCGTAGGATCAGGCAACTGTTTCAGCTTAAGTTTGTGTAAAATAGTAAGCTGAATTTGACGTCCAAGGTTTACTTTTTAGCTGACCCGACTACACTTTTCAAACATTTCTAAAAAGAGATAAAGAAATATAAAACATTATACGTTATAAAAAAAGAAAAACCATAAAATGAATTTGTTTTTGTAACGAACTTTAATACAATATATTTAGCAACGAACAAAGTTTTGTAACCAGGTCTTTGATACTGTGACTACTGACCAAAGAGAGAGGTCAGGTCTTTGCCAAGGTCATGACCAGCTGACCACTCACTGACGCCGTTAGAAAACGCAAAGTAATTAATTATAAACCATAGTGAATAATAGTAAAAAGTTGAAACCATGGTTAGGTTAGATAAACCCTTTTTTGTTTCCTCATTTTAACAAACTCCAAAACAACACCGAAACCATTTGTCTACAGACTTTTATAATTTTTGCTTTTTTTGCTTTTGTCTTCACAATCTTCGTCTTCTCTCTGCAAGATTCTGAGATCGCAAAATGGACGATGGAGGAGCTATTGAGATACGACGTGATGAAGAGCAACGCGAGAGACTTGAAGAAATTCGTCGATTGAACGTTCGTTTCTTGGTGGCAGTCGCGCTCTATCTTTTCACCGGAGTCCGGAAACGAGCAGCTGGTTTCATCGGTTCAGATCCAAACTCGGAAGACTCGGTGGCGTTCTTTTGGGCTTCCAAGTTTAACAGAGCGGCGGAGTTCTCGTCTCTGATGGTGATTTCAACCCTCATTACCTCTACGGTGGCGTTTGAAGGACCACGACGGATGCGAAATCTACTTGTCAACTGCGATATACAGCTTGTTCTGAGTTTCATCTGCTTGTTGATCTCGTTCGCTTTCTCGGCTTATCTTTGCTGGTTTGTATGATTAGTCATTACTTCCATCTATGACGTCACCCTGAACCTTCACTCTTTTCTCTTTGGAACTGTGCCTCTTTTTTTCTATATTTGGGTTTTGTGTGTTTGAACATTACTGTTTCCTGATGACAAATTGATGACCATTGGAGTAACATTGACAAGTTTGATCCCCAGTAGTTACTATTTTTTAAATTAAGTAACATTAAGCCATAGTCGTACTCGTACCATAATCTCAATGTTTACTATAATAACCATCCAGATATTTTCTAAATTGCTAGTATTGCCTATGATATAACTTTATTGACCCAAGCTGGATAAAATTTCTAGGAACCAATTTGTGTAACCAAAATAATCGAAATGTTGTTAAACCAATAGTAATTATCATCACCTTCTCTCGTATTGTGACCAAATAGTAATTATCATTTATAGTGACCAAATAAGTTCAAATTCCAGATCGATGAGTCATCATCATCATCATCACCTTCTCTCGTATTGAAACTTGTTCAGCACGTACGGTTATTAACAATGGACCATGGTAAGGAAACGTTAAGGTCAAAGTAAACCATAGTTCATGGTTAAATTTCAACCGTGGTTAGGTTAGATAATAAGCCTCTCTCTCTTTCCCTCTCTTTAACAAACTCCAAAACCCCTCAGTCTTGTTTTTCTCCCTTTTTCCATATTCTTAATATTTTTTTTTTTTTTGTTTTTGTTTTTGTCTTCGTTTCAAAATCTCTGCAAGTCTCTGATCGCAATGGAGGATGATGATGGAGGTCATGAGAGAAGAGAAGAGACCCGCCGAGTTAACGATCGTTTCTTCGTAGCAGTTTCGCTCGCCATTTTCACCGGAATCTGCAAACGAGCTGCTGGTTTTGACGTTTCCGATACGAATCCGGGAACCGAGTCGACTAAAAGCGGACACGTGGCGTTCTACTGCGCATTGGAGCTCAACAAGCTAGCCGATCAGTGTTTTCTGTTTGCTATTATCAGACTTACTTTATCGTTTCTCGGACTCACTTTTGCGCCGGTGGTGATGCGAAGACTACGAGAAGAGACGGACATGAAACTGATGATGGGTTCTTTCTGCCTTGTGGTCTCGCTCTGTTTCTTGGCTTATCTCCGATGGTTCGTCGTCGGATGAGTTTTTTAGTTCGCCAGAGTCTTCCTCTTGCTTTCGATTTATAACGGTGTCGTTTTAGTCTTTCTGCATTTCTTGTTTTGTTTCTTTACTCTGTCTGAGTCTGACTATGGTTTGTTGATAAAGGTTTGATCTTTGAATACCATTTGGTACTGGACTCCAAGATTTATCCATTCATAATATAAAATTGTTCATAACAGTTTCATATGCATAAGTTAAATTGATATTGTTCGTTACAATTTCATACGTAAATCGTATTAATTCAAATGATCTGTCATATGTGTGTCAGTTGGTTTAAGGATGTTTCGAAAGACAACATTGCCCTTAGCAATTTGATAGTGGAGATGATAACATATTAATGAATCAGCTTTAGGTTGCCAAAATCATTAAAAGCTTGCTTCTTTGTTTGCTCAAAACACATGGAATAATCACAATATCTTGAAACAAGTCTTACTTGTAAATGGCATCAAAATTACATCATAGTCTTATTGAAACTAATGTAAGAAGATTAGGACATGGAAGAAGTATCCTCAGTCTCTGTGTTGGTGGTTGTTGTGGCATTTTCAGAGTCTTGGAGTAACTTCATTTGGTGTTCTGCGTGTTCTCTCTCGCATTGACTCACACCAATGATGATGTCAAGCATTGTTCCGGTTGTGCCAAAGAACACGAGTGGACCTAGAGACTTGCGTTTGATGCCCACTGGGATTGCAACCAATGCTCCTAGGACTGAGAATACCCATGTCCCTAGTGCACTGCACCCACAAACAAACCGATACTTTTACAGTTTAGGATGTTTCAACTTGAAGAACAACAACCACAGTGTGTTTTACAATAGAAGATTACTAGGTACCAATGTTGGATGGTAAGGTTACTTCTTTTAGCAAATCCAAGCAGTGCAGTTGTTAAGCATGATGGTAAGACCAAGTGAAAACGACTAAGAGTGGGCTACATAACTGATGACTCAAGACTCGATGACAACAATATGATTCTTAGATCACAGTTAAGATTCAAACACTTCTTACACCAAAAAAATTGAACTTTTTAACACCTTAGAATGTTTCATCTTCAACGACAACCGCACTGTTAAAGACCATAAGATACAGGATACCATTACTAATGTTGGATGCTAAGGTTACTTCTTTTTCCAAATCAAAGCTAAGTAGTGGCTAAGCATGATAGTATAGACAAGTGAAAACGCTGACTAAGAGTGGGCTACATAACTGATGACTCAATGACAAAACTATGATTCCCAGATCACAAAATATCACAGTTAAGAAACAACCACAAGAACTGTGTTCCTTTTTCTTTTTAAAGTCTAGCAAACAATCAAACAACATTGATGTAAACGTAAAGTAAGACTGACTTGGAGACAGTGCATTCCTCGAGGTGTTTCACATTCTCCTGACTTCCCATCTTTGATCAGTCACTGAAAAGAAGAAAATCCCAGTTAACATTTCTGCCCAAACATATCTTATAAAGCAGATAGAAACTCAAATGGTATAAAGTACTTTTCAGCAATGAAATGTAAACAGGGTATATATTCATGTGGAGGAAGAAAACTATAATCTTGAGAACTCAATCCAATGTGAAATGGCAAAACAACAGACTTGAAGACTAGTGAGCTACAAGTATGCAGATTCATCTCCATAAAAACCAAGAAACGCAAATACAAAAAGTCATCTTGAACACATATAACACAACAATTGGAGCAACACAATAAGTAAAAGAAACTAGGAATTGCGTGAATCATTAAACAAGTTTCAATTTTTTTTTGGAATTCACAGTACGCAAATGATTCAGATTCGTATAATGGAGTAGTGGAGCAAGTTTCTCAATTAAGAATCAGCACCAAAGAACATCAAGTTTCCGGGAAAAAACATCTGAACAAACACAATCACATAACGCGAACAACGACAACAAAATCAAATACATCTCACTTAATCAAAAGAAAGATACAAACTTGCAACCAAAAACTCTCACGAATCCTAACGAAGAAGACCAATCCTAATTCATAGAAACGATGATCATTACCACACGAGAAACGAAGATTGAGCAAAGTACCTTTCTCGATTTCTTCTACTCAGAGAGAAATGGGAAAATTAAAGTCAAGCTTCTTGTGACTAATCGATGAGTCGGGTCGGGTTAGGCCATGAAGTGACTTAGTCGGGTCGAATTAATTATTTTTAACCGGACACTAACCGAGCCTAAATCGTATAGTTAATTTGACCGGTATAGTCGTTCTCTGATTTTGGCTTAATACGGTTTACATCTTACATGGATGAGTGGATGACCAAACAACACAGTACTAAACATAGAAACAAGAAACGAATTTTAACCTTTAAACAAAAAAAAAAAAAAACAACCAATTTTCTAAAGATAGAAAACATTACCTTCACTATATAAATCATGTAGACGAAACTCTTAAAATCATCTTTGTTTATCATAACTTTTTTTGGTAATCAAGATCGATCAATACAATTTTTAAATACAGAGTTATGGAGGGTCAAAGTTTGAAGAATGTTCTGATGATTACGGCATTGTTGACGATGATGTTTTCGGCACAAATGGCGCATTCGAGTGATGTGGATATGTGTATCAAACATTGTGTCTCAAGACAATGTCCTAAAGAGGTCAAAAAGGCTACTCCTGCCATGTGCGAGGTTGGTTGCAAAAAGCTTTGCAATGAAAAACAATTTGATCATGAACAATACGTTAAGCCGGGTGGTTGGATCTGCAAAACTTGGCCTTCAGTTTGTGCCTAATCTATATAATCAACAGAAGCTCTCATCATTCTTTGTTAACCCTCCATATCTATTTGTAATTCACTTTTTGTACTATATTGGTCTATTTTTCTCAATTAATAATATCTTTCTTTTTTTTTTTGTTCTTGATCGCAAATATGCATGTTGTGGTTCTTGGTTTTTTTTTTATGAGTTAGAAATTACAAATTAATTACTATAAAATATTCTTAATTTTGATACAAGTTTTTTTCAATCGGTTGATAATCAAAATGTGACTTTTTGTTAAGACGAATTATTTCATTTGTCAAGGTGTGTTCGATTTCTAAATCGAAATTTATTCGTCAAGAAAAACAAAAACCTCATATAAGCGTATACACACGCACACGTATGATAAGAAGTTAAGAACTCATAACGTATCGAGGCATACATATTTATTATTTTATCATTAATTTGCCTCTCTCTCTCTCTCTCTCTTGGTCTTCCATGTTGCTCCACCCGCTAATTAATCTTGACGACGAGGTTCTGGCATCTCTACCTTTCATCCTTGTCTTCTCCATGTGTTTGATTGTTTGATAACCTCATAAGTTAGTTTACTTAGTTCTTTATTTTTCGCCTCTTGTCTATCTTTACAATTCTTGGGATGTCCTAGTTGAGCGACAGAATTTGCATATAACAACAACTCTGGCGTGCTTAGCTTGTTGATGAAAGATACGCATGGACGTGTTCTACTTTAATCTAATGAAAACACTTTAAAGGAAATGTATCATCATGGACTCCTAAATGAAAATTTTCCTTTACCAGTAATTTAACAAAAACTCCAATTTGAATGCACTTGAAAAAACATATGGCCAGAGATACATCTTCTCTCACGTGGACGTCCGAGCTTAAAGTCCAAAAGAAAATTACGGGAGAGTGTATTTTTTCTGGATTCAAAAATAGCTTTTCGTAACAACCCGTAGTTACAAACTTTCAAAAATAAAACGCCACTAAGACATTGTGTATTTGTAGCATAAAGTTATGTCCATATATAGTCAATACCAATATAGATGTCCAAAAAAAGAAACGAGGAACAAATTAACCTCCAATAGCTAATAACTTCTAAAAATTTGATTACTATATAAATCTCCCTAAAGCCACCCATCATACTCACCAAAGCATCTCGTTCGAAACAAAAACAAGTTTTAGGACTAATCACAATACGAACGTGATGGCTGGTCACATGTCACAGAGAATATGCAATATCTTAATCATTGTAACGTTAGCCACGATGATGTTTTCAGCACAAATCGCCGAATCGAACAAGATAGCGCTACAAGTATGTCTTCACAACTGTGTTACGAACGTGTGCATGAAGGCAGGCAAGAAAGCAACTCCAGCCAAATGTAAGGACGCATGCAGTCAAGTTTGTGATGATAACCCATTCAATAATGAGGGATACGTCGTCCCTCCTGGTAAAGGCGACAATCCTCTGGTTAAATTTTGCAAACGATTTCCCTGGATATGTTCGTAAAATAGTAATTACGATAACAACGAAAAACAAAAAAAATAAAAACAAATTGTCTTATTTTGTGCTACTTTTTTGTATTTTTGATATCATGTACGTATCAATTCCTTTTGAATAAGATAATTTAAGATGAAACAAAGTATCCAACAAAGTGCATTTGAATCAAAGGTAAGCCTTAATCATATATGTTGGGTTTACGAGTTTTGAATAGAATTAATGGGCCGAACTCGTCTGAATCAAGCCCCAAAAAGCTTGTTCTTTAAAGCTTCGTGAATCTACTATATGCCCAGCTCGTTTCTTCCTTCATTTGATATTGTTGCAAGTTGGTTACGGAATCATTAGGGGAATGAACAAGGCTTAGAAGTGTGAGAGTAATGGAAGAAGTACAAATACATAATGATTGTGCTTCGTTTGTTCTCTTCCATGATTAAATGTTTAGTAGTTTTATTATACATGCTGCATAGGATGTGATCATGCGACAAAACTTGTATAGTTCCGAAAACTAAATGAACATAAATAGAATTTTCCCATGGTCCAATTTGTATATAATTAGATTACAATTTTGACAAGTAAAAGAAAGGAGACTTTTCAAAGCTGTGATAATTTAGAATATATAATGACACAAATGAAAGCGCATGGCTCTGTTGCAATTTGGCCTTATCGTAGCCGAAAGCTAAATGGATGAGAATGCATCAGAGTATATTAATTTGACTTTTAGGATCTCTTTGAAAGAGATGTTTGCGTACTGCTTAGATGATAATATCAGGTTTTAATTAATCCATTTTATAATCCAACGTTGTTAGCAATAAAGCTTAGAGTCGTCAATTAATAAAAATTATCAAGTGAAACTAATCTCATGGCAACTATACTATACTATTGTTGTTGTGATTTGACTTGTAAGAAAAAGATTGTTCCACTCTCTACGTCGTATCAATTCATCTAACTATAACACACACACACACTTCATAGGTGATTGAACTTTCTAACCATACCAGAATTCAGATGTAACAGTGTGTAACATAGCTTTAAGTTAAGTTATATGTACATCTAGTTTGAAAATATATAACTAACCTCGGAGCTGGCTAATAACAACATCGAACAACACCAAACAAAAGGATGTTTGGTTAAAATGGGTTGTTCACGATTTGATTAGATCCAACCATCCTGCTCGATCTCTTTTTCTTGAGCCATTAATATTTAGTTTGAAATGACAAAAAAAGATTCCGTGAATAGTAATTAATCGGGGTTTCAACAATTTTGCTGGCAGATCACCTACCATATTTCTTACCAAAAACGAAACGAATTCAACGTTGTCGTTGGTCGTTGATGATACCACATAAGTCTACTATATACATGAATAGTAGTAGAAAAAAGCTGTGATAGGGGTGATGTTATTATGTATACATTATATGAATAGTTTAATTTAGATTAGTTGGATGGTATACTCTAAAATCGAATTTATTTTTCTTAGAAATGAAATGAATTAAACGTTGTTGTTGGATGTTGATGTTACACATAAGTTATTTACTATGTGTGCATGCATATGAATAGTAGAAAGCAGGCATACGGGTGATGTTATGTTATGTATGCATATTATGAATTGTTCAACTTAGATTAGCTGATATGCTCTATTAATGGAATTTATTATTTTTCACTCCAAATTAAGGTTTAATCATTGTAAAACGTATTGAGCAATGGCCACAATTAGTGATTAAATTCCACTAATTGTTTCCTGGTAACTTTTTTCCAATTTTATTATTCTAGATAGCTATTGACCAATTTATACCTTTATAATTAGTTGATAAAATTTCATTAAAAAGTTTAAGATAATCTTAAGTTAATAGTATGTTTGTATAATGAAAAGTGGTAATTTTGAATTAATATTGAGGTCAAATACATTTTTGAAAAGAGATTAACTAAAAATGGTATTTGATAAAAATATTTCCTATGTTAATAATCCAATGCAAACAAAATGAAAATGTAAGCCTGGCATCGAGGTGGCACTTTGTATATTTTATAAGGTATGATTAATTTAAGATAAAGTCATAAAATTATATTAACCTCATCTGATTTTAATAGGAAAAAATCTTATGTCAAAAAATATAATTTTGTAACATTTTCTTTTGATGTCCAAACTAATTTATTTTGGGCAAAATAAAATAAAATAAAAAACTCTGTCGAAAAAAAGCAGAGATTTTTTTCTTAATAAGAAAATAAAGATATATATAAAAAAAGATTTGTGTCCGAAAAAAAGGAAAAGTTAAATTAATATTTATCTGTGTGACTGTGTAAAGTAATGGCACGTGCCAGCTTTGCAACAGTAAAAGCTATAAAACCGTTCATGTTTGGATCCGTCGACCAATATATTCCCGTCATCACCGGTCACACCCCATCCAACGGCTCTCCTTCTCCTCTTCTCTTAATCAACCGTCAGATCTTAATCGGACGGTTCATATCAAATCAAGTCTCATCTCTTTCTCTCTTTAAATTAAAAGCCCAAACCCGGTCCACTTCTTCTTCTCCTGATTCTCTCTTCCCCTCCCTCTCTCTTTAAGTGAGCTTCGTTTCGCCGTTAAAAAATTCTCCGGTACCGGGAAATAAACAACGAAGAGAGTATAAAGCAATTAAAAATATCTCTCTCCCTATCTAACGTAGTCGTGCGTGAGCGTGATGCTAGTTACGGTGGTTAAGCAGCGGTTAGTGTACTCTCACCGGAGATTTTGCCGGAGAAATCGATTATGACCGGAATCTCACCTCTGTTTTGGTTTCGATAGTTGCGAAGTTTTTGAATTTTTAGAGAAGAAATGGAAAAACAGGCGAAGCTTACGAGGACGCAGTCGTCGTTGCTCCGGTCATGTTCAAATGTTCGATCGTCTTTTCAGAGCTTATCTTCAATCGTCGAAGGCGAGCAAGATCTAGAAGCCGGAGAGAAAGAAGAGAAGCAGAGAAGAAAACCACCTAAACCATTCGGTTCATCAAGTCCTAAAGCCGGTTTAACCCGGATTAATCCCGGTTTAGCTTTCACCATGGTGTCTCTCTCTTTCCTAAGCCTCTCGTCCTTCTTCTTCTTCGTCGTCTTCTCACAGACCGATGAGATTCTCACATCGGAGAATCTTTTGCTAGCTCTGATCTTCGTCGCCGTAGCTCTCTTCTTCGCTTCCAAGAACATCGCACTTCTCAACCAAACCGCAATCGCAATCAAACAAATCTGCGACGAAACCACCAGAGTCTTGGGGTTCCAGGGAAGAAACCCGAAATCTAAACCGGTACAATGGTACATCGGAGACGAATCTAAACCGGACAAGAAGGTGGTAAAGCAGCGATTGGTGAAAGAAGGTGTTCAATTCTACAGCAATGGAGATTTCTACGAAGGTGAATTTCACAAAGGGAAGTGTAACGGGAGTGGAGTATATTACTATTTCGTGAGAGGTCGCTATGAAGGTGATTGGGTTGATGGGAGATATGATGGTCATGGGATTGAGAGTTGGGCTAGAGGGAGTAGATATAAAGGTCAATATAGGCAAGGTCTTAGACATGGATATGGAGTTTATAAATTCTACACTGGTGATTGCTATGCTGGTGAGTGGTTCAATGGTCAGAGCCATGGATTTGGTGTTCAGTCTTGTGCTGATGGTAGCTCTTATGTTGGGGAGTCTAGATTTGGTGTTAAACATGGTCTTGGATCTTACCATTTCAGGTATGTTTATCTTTTTCTTTATTTAATTTTGGTTTTAAGAGTTTTGGGTGAATCTGGTTTTGATAAAAAAATACATATATTTTTGTGTTGTGTTTTGTCAGAAATGGAGATACGTATGCAGGGGAGTATTTTGGAGATAAGATTCATGGGTTTGGTGTGTATCGTTTTGCAAATGGTCATTGTTATGAAGGAGCATGGCATGAAGGTCGTAAACAAGGTTTTGGTGCTTACTCGTTTAGAACAGGTGATGCTAAATCTGGTGAATGGGACTCAGGGAATCTTGTAACTTCTCTTCCTCTTACGAGCGAGCCAGTTTCAAGAGCGGTTCAGGTATAAGCCCATCTATTATTAATAATAAAAGAGAACCCCGAGTTGACTCGTTGAAATTGTCAAAAAGAAAGAAAGTAAAAAACTTTAACTTGAAAATAATTGCAGGCGGCTCGAGAAACAGCGAACAAGGCAGTGAATCGGAGACGAGTAGATGAGCAGGTGAGCCGAGCCGTGGCTGGAGCTAACAAAGCTGCTACAGCTGCAAGAGTTGCTGCGGTGAGAGCTGTTCAGAATCAAATGGATGGTAAATTTTGTCAAAGTTAAAAAAAAAGAAAATCAAAATGTAAAAAAAGAAGTCATTTTCCTTTATTACCAAAGTCTAAAGTCTTCTCTGTAACCCTGATTGAGCTAGAAACAAAAAATGGTTTATAGCTTCTGTCAGAGGTTTTGTAACGGAGTTGAGAGCAGTAATTTTCGATTTTTACTAATGTAACAAATCTGTAAATAGTTTAAGAAGAAGAAGAAGAAACAAGCAAGCTGGTGTTTTTTTATATTTTTGATTGTAAATCAACGGCTTGATGAAATGGATCTTTCTTTTTTCTATGTGAAAATGTTTTTGATCGAATCTTTGGGAACAAGTGACTTTGATTGATAACATTATGATCTTGATCTGGATCACTGACAATTTCGATTCCCTTTAGATATTAGTAAAATAAAAAAACTGTAGTATATTGGATTAATATATACTACTTATTTTGGTTTTGCCCCCAAGAAGAAAAACAAAAAATTTGGGAGGAAGCATGAAGAAGAAGATTCTTGTCCGGCGCCATAAACTCATTTGCGATTTCCCAAAAAAAACTATCGATCGATTAAACAAAACTAACACTACTACTAGTCTACAACCCATGCGTATTAATGGTCTTTGTTTCTTGTTGTTCTAGATGCATATAATCTTCTATATACTGACTATAGTATTCTGGATGTTTTAAGAACTATATAGTTAGTATTCTTTAGTTAGTAGATAAGTAGATAACGTAAAATTTGCTGGTGATTTTCAAAAACGTTCAAAAAAAAAAAACTAGTGGTACTAGAATAGTTTTTACTTTTTAGTAACTCTATGTACAATACATACATATACATCATCACACCATAGAGTTTTTCCGAAACGGCGTCGATCTCAATGTTTACGTTTTGAAATGGATCACTTTTAAAAAGGCAAATTCGAAAACGTTTTCAAATTTGTTACTTCAAATTTCGAATCTCTTTAAGGTGTGACAGCAATGTGTGTACTTAGTTTTTCTTATTAATGGATGGATATGGATAAGATTTACAAAACTACTTAAATCAATCATAGATAATATTGTAAGGTATATAATAAGTTTACAAGATACACAATTATTTTTTTGTTTTGGTTACGACAGGAACACATCCGATGTGCATATACTACATGTTTCGTCGCATAAAAGAAGTGTTGTTGTACAAGCCCATGTGTCCTTATCGATCATCATCTATATTCAGATGATTGATATATATATCATTTTATGATTTTATATAAAAAAATCCTTATCCTTTCGTTTTTTTTATATTTTTGTATATGGTTTATATACGCCACTGATCACATGGTTTCTTGCTGGATTGGTCTCCCCTTTGCATCAATATACTCCAAACAAAAATACTTCAAAATATATATAGCTTAATGTTATTAAATTTATTTTACCCAAAATGTTATGAATTTTGTAAACCTAAATAAAGTGCTTGATTATATTTTCTGTACGATGCTTTTCAAAGCTTACTTCCAAATCGTTTTTAAGAAAATACAATTCACTAGTACACGTATTAAGTTTATTTATATAGTGCACCATAACGTGTGAGTGAGTTGAATAGGCTATTCGATAATAAAATACTAATATTACCTTTTGATAAACCAAAGACTGTAATATGTAACCAAATCATTCAAAATAGGTTTTTCCTTTTTTCAAATAATTTTTTTAAAGTATAGAGATAATCTGGTTTATTGAATGGATTCCCAATTAACTGGTACTATCATATAGCCTCTATATAAATTTTGGTTGTCTAAAAGCAATTAAATTTTATACATCACATTTAAAAGCAACACAATTTAATAAATTATGATACAAAAATTACTCCAACGTGGAAATATTTTAGGAGTGATAATTTGATTAATGGTTTTAGTTATTTTTTTTAATATTCAATATGTAAATTTTAAATTACTACAATGTCATGTTCTAAGAAATATATATTCTTATGGCATGACATGTGCTATCTTTGAGCAAAAATTCCAAGTTTAGATTCAAAAGAACGATGGTTATAAACTAGGTTTTGGGACAACATTTGGTTAATAAAACTTGAATAAATGTTTGTAAACTTGAATACAACTATAGATATTAAATATTTTCAAGGTGTAGAATATTTTTGGAGGCCGTCTTGAACTATGATGCAAGTATCTTTGGGCAGATTTGTGTGACATCCTTCCATTACAAGTAGAATTTATAAATGTAAACTCTTGGTTTTACAATTTCGATTTTTAAAGTCTACTTATTGAATTTCTTGAAAGTATGCAATATTCTCAAAATATTAGTTAAATGTTAATACTTTTGAATAATACTAAATATATTGAAAATCTAAAACTCTTGATTAGATAACACTAATTTTGACCCCATGGATCATAATGCTAGTACTAGTATTATATAACCTTTTTACATATAAACAATATTTTTTTTTTATTACTGTAATAATTGAAATCTTTACTCTTGTTGATTCGTTTTGTATCATCAATGTAACTATTAATTATTTCTTACACTCACGCATGTAATTTTTCTGACAGCATTTTTGACTGAAATGTTGACTTACAAACTTGGAAATCTAACCACTCCACAAACACAAATTAATTATCTTGCAGAATAGAGTATTTATTAATGGTTTACAGATTTCCCATCAAATAACCAAGTACTGTGCCTTCATATTTCTCTCAATGCATCTATTTTAAGATTGAACTTTTAACTAAAGTTTTTTGTATGGATTGAAATGTTAACTAAACGAGTAAGTTTTTATGAAAAAATGTAAAAGTAGCAGTAAGATTTTCTGAACAAAAAAAAACTTTAAGTACTTATAATTTTCTAACAAAAAATACGTGCACGGAATATAATTTAATTTACTATCGAATGGTCGACGACACCATATGAAGTTTACCAACAAAAAAACGTATTAAATATAGAGAGACATATACGTAGCGTCAATAATTGATGATATATAGGACCTAATTTTTCTTTAATACATCATCGACCTATATAGTATATACCCCTTTAATTATTTGTTACTTAATTAGTATTAGTAATTCATTATTCAAACAAAACATTTAAAAAAATTGTGGACAAGAGAAGTCAGAAGAGGAATGCTTGTTTCGGCAATGCATGTCTCTGCCTCTTTTGATTTTTTTTTTTTTTTTAAACTCGAATAATCATTGTTATGAGTTATGACTAGTGCATACATTTATTTAGTTTAATACATATTGTTACAATTAAATTAAAACGAATGCGGTGATTGCTGAAACTGTTGGTCCAATGGGGTGCCATCTTACTGACAAAAAATTAATAATACAACCTTGGTCAATGTAAAGTCTTCGTAGTTTTACACTTTTCTTGCAAAATTATGAGACAAATTCTCCCATTATTTCAGCACCTACAACACGCCCTCTATGTTATTAGGATTGGAGCCTTGGACAATGGACGCATTGGAAACTATGTGTTGCGGTTCTTCGATTCATAACTTTTAAACTCGACTCATACTTGACACAAACCATTTTTTGGTGCGGCTCAGTCTTCGACATAATAAAGACATACTATTCGAGTTGAGTGTTAGGTGAGTATGATCAACGTTGGAGATTTTTGTTGACATATATATATGTGCTTGCTATAAACACAAATTCATCATACTAGTATGCATGCATGAAGTTCCCATTATTTGAATTCAAATAACAAAAACGAACTGACAAGTAACCATCTCTAATGCAATCATCACCCTTACAAAATTATATATATTCTAAGTTTATCTCTTTTGTTCTTTAATTTGTAGTATATTGGAGGCATTGAGACTATAATAAAAGCAGGTTACTACTTACTACAAACATGCAAGCAGACAACATAATTACAGCTTGCACTATTAAAATAGAATAAACTCAAGTTGCCTTTTCAATATTCATTGATGTCCTTAACATTTTTTGTAGTTTGCCAATTTGCTATGGGCCATTATAGCCAATTTGCCCGATTGGTTGGCTCATCTTTCCTATAATTTTTTGTTTTAAAGAGTCAAACAATGTTGATAATAGTATAGTCTTGTTTGCTTACAATTTAATCAACCATCCATCTCTTTCCACAGATATTGTGGGTTCCAATATAATCTTCAACAGACTAACTCAAAGTGTTTATCCTTATGATTATTCATTTTTATCTAATTATGGTTTTTTTTTGTAAAGTAATTAACTTTAGTTTGTGATTAAGAACAAATATGCTAATGTGTTTATGGTTTTAAGATCCGATCACACATGTTAAGGAGATCGTCGAGATATGGCTATATAGTATACAAAGAATAACTTAATTAGCTTGTATGTGGCACATAATTACGATTTTATATACGGGATTGATCGGTAAAAGACAAAGCACATATGACCTTAACTTTTTTACTCAATTATACAAAGTGTATAGAGATCAGTAGATCACTAGCAAACAATTCTTTGCTACAAAGTCTATTTTCTCCAATAGAAAATTGTTTGGCCTGTAAAGCTTGGCATCACATGTTTGGTATATAGCTACTGATTTTTGAAAGCGACCCAAATAAATTTACAAGTTTAGGTCTATTATAAAAAATAAAATTTGATTGATGTTTTTTTTTGAAAAAAATCAACACGACAAGTAGATGATAACTCTATTAACCGCCGCCAATTCTCTCCGAATCAAGAATCAAAAGATAAGTACAAGAAGAACATAAAAGTCGTGCGAAGACACGAACAAATACAACTTTTTGGAAACTGTGTGATGCATAAAGCAAACTATAAGTAGTCTATAACCTAATGCTGTTTACGATATTGACTTCTGTTTATCCTATACTACTTTATAATATATTATCCTGAGGTAAGGTCGTAAGGATGATTACTTATTCACGCTGTTGTAAATTTTGTTTTCTTTTGCTTGTAAATCCATATCAAACAGCATGTTTGCTATATCCATTACTTCAAAGAATGAACCACAAAATTCGTGAAGGGATCATAAACTAACTATAGTCCATTAGAATATGTTAGCCTCTCACCATTTGCATACATACAATATTCAGAAAGTGGAGTCTGGAGCTAAAAGGTGTTCAATATGGTTTGTGAAGCCTTAACTGAACCGAATTATGCCAGGCTTTTTTCTTATAAGCCCAGTGAATTTTGAAAGATCATTTATAATTTCAGTAGGCCTAATCTTTTGTTAAACACCTTACAGATTTAAAGTTTTCATCAGTGGCGGCCAAAATCTATAATGGGTCCAAAACAAAAGAAAAAGCCCATAACCACGAATCCCCCAAATTACCAAAGAAAAGTAAACGACTAAAATAAGAGCGTTGAACAAGGGGACCAAATCATGTGGCTTCAAGACAGACTTCATTCCAAACAAATATTGAAGTGTAGAGACGTACCTTTGACAAAGACGAAATGCTTTTAACACTCTGCACATCCAGATTTCTTCAGTTTGATGTGATAATATATGAATATTACGAATCATACGAAATGTCTTATCAAATCACGTTATCTTCTCAAGTATGGGGTGTCCCATCTTATGTATAGTTTTGGCCTTCAAATTTGTGAACAACCCATTTAACTATGTTTTTATTTTTCTATTAAATAGCCGAATAATGTCTTCAAGATTTTTATTTAACTCACATGATCTCATCATTAATTTTTTTATAATATTATATGGTTTTCGTATAGTGTAGATTCATGGGATGGGATCACGATACTTAACTATTTAGACCAAGTTCATGATCTACGCTAGCCAACAAATAATATCGAATCGTCCACGCACACTGACACTAGGAAACAATTATGCTTGCGTAAATTCATGTTTTGAAGAATGTAAACTCGTCTCAGATGTTAATTAAAACGTTTGGAGCAACCTTGTGAAAATATTCGAATGGTAATTAAAAAAAAAAAAGGAATAAAGATTTCGAAAACATCATACGTATTTGAGTTCGCAATACCTAGGCTCTAACCTATTGACAGAGTGAGTGGGATTACTAGTTTTCACTTTTAGAGTGGATACGGCTCTTTGAAAACAAATGTATCTGAAACTTTCTACTCCTACACGAACATGAGATTCTTTCCCAAAAGAGGTAAAATAAAATGAACAAAATTTTTTTTTTATTGAAGTTCAAGTTTCAAAGATATGAACTTTGTCCCCAAGCAATGTGTTGTTGCATTATTTGCCATACCAAACTTTTCCACGGCACATGAAACAGTAAGATTCCTCTGAGTATATAGTACTACACATAATAGTATTTAATCAAAACATATTTATGAATTATATGAAAAGACACATCGGGAATGAGAGTTGTTCAGATTTGATTAGCACATTAATTTACATATATATCTTATCATCTTAAGAACTTACCATCACCAATGATGTCTAGTTCTAACTAATGATGGTTGTCAATTAGTGTGAAAAAAATAAAATGATTGGCAATTATTTACATCATCGGCTTTACTACTTACCAAAACAAGAATTTTAAAAGCAAAGATAATGTGTTAATGGATTGCAATTATAATCACATATTGGTAACAACTTGACACATATATACAAGTTAACGAGTTGAAGAAAATGATACAAAATCTTCATATAGTGAATTATCAGTTTTATCATTCATTGTTAATAAATTTGATTAAACAGGAACCTCCTCACGTGAAAAAGTCAAACAAGTGACAAAAAAATCTCTATTGTTCATGTGAACATCTTATTAGGTCCCAAGTTGTATCGAGTAGTGCTACATATGAAAACCAATTGCATTATTTAATGTATTATATTCGTATCCGTCGTCAATTCTCTCCAAGTAACAAACAACAACTTGGGAAAGAATAGTTACGAGGATGGTAAGTTAATTAACATTTAGTATAAAAAGAATTGAAAAAATGATAGAAATATATATATGTATGTATATAAAACTAATTAAAGTATGTATTCTGTGAACCGTCGGATCATCAACTGAAGCTCCAAAGTGGAATGTCACCATCTTCGTACAAGTATTCATCAAGCATCGTCGTCGAGTTAAGTTGAGGAGAGTAATCAAAAGGAGCTCCATCATCGAAAAAGAACATTCCATTATGATCATCGTACCATGATGATGAAGGATCCATCAAAGACACATGATCTTGCACGAAAGATCCTAGCAAAGTTTGCATCCCGTCATCATCATTATCATTATCATTATCATCATGATCATGATGGGACGGTGACGAGGCGGCTGATGAAGAAGAAGGGGCGACAAGGTCAAATGAGTTGGCAGCTTGAGCGGCGACTCTTTGGATGGATTTGGGGGACATAAGTGTCTTTTCATCTAAGATATCGTCAAGAAGATGATGAGAAGAAGAGGTAGGGAAGTTAAGATTGGCTTGAGGGCCTTTGAGACACAAGAGTGCAACATCGTAAGCCCTAGCAGCTGCTTCAGCTGTTGAGTAAGAACCTAACCAAATCCTTGTCTTCTGATTTGGTGCCCTGATTTCAGATACCCATGACCCCCAACTTCTCATCCTCACTCCTTTGTACTTCTTAATCTTATTCTTCTTGTTCTTACAAGAAGACGAAGACGAACAAGAAGATGAAGATGAAGAATGAGACTGTGATGAAGACAAAGACATTTCCTTCTTCGTGTCGCTTTGGATCTTGCGTTCTTGTTTCACCATGGTGTAAATGTCGGTTGCACAATGTGGTAGTAGTATATATATATTGATAAAGTGTAAGAGATTGCTCGTTGAGTTTTTGTTCTTCTTGTTTCTGGTGGGTATGAGAGTTTTGGATGAATATTAATGTGAGCTGAGGAGATTTATATTTATAGATGGAATTGATTTGGGAGGGGTATGGGGGAGACGAAGAGATGAAATATTCATTTATTGATATAAATCTAAAATAGGGTCAAATGAAAATATATTAGTATGGTTTTCTTGTGTATGAATGTGACATTGTGGGGCATGACAGGTGTTTTTTTTTTTCGTTTTTTTTTTGTCGACATTTTTATTCTCAATTTATCTTCGCAAATGGCATTAATACAATTTTGTTCCTTTCTCATTAAAAAAAAAACTTAAATCTTTGGAATGTTTATTATTTATTCGAATTTGGATGCATCCAAGTGTTCAAACAATGAACCTGAACATGGCCTTCTTTTAACCTTTTGCTAGTTCTGCATCTTTCTTCTTAAAATAAATATAAAATCATGTGTAAGTAATGTTCTTGGTATTTAGAGGAAAAATATAGAAAACGTATAATGATTTTGATTGGCTTTTTGCGGAATCACAAAAACACCTCTTCGATTATGCGATCACGTAAACAATTTTCTTTTTTTTGTCCATTGCATATAATTGTAAAAAGACAAAAAAATGTATAGTTCTACAGTTCTTAGTAATTGAATTACAATATGAAACAAAAAATAATTACAGAATGGAGTCAATTTTGTTAGGAATAGTTAATTAATTAATTCGGAATTGTATTAATACTATATAGTATATAAGCTTAGCTGTGTACGGAAGCCACTTGATGAGCAAATCGAGGAGAGATGCTCCTAAAATAAACCTATACAACTACACAAGTATATTTTTTTCTGATATAATTTGACTATTACGTACCTATCATCACATATCAGGAGATTACGAATTTACAGCTACGTTTTAACGCGTTAACTCGTCGATACGAATTTTCCAAGAAAGAGCCCCCCTCATAATTTATGGTTGGCTATGTTTATTCTTTACCCATTAAACTAGTGGGTTTAATTTGTACCTTTGTAGCTTATACTTACGACAATCAGATTTTTTTTTTTTTGGTTTTAATGCTAGGAAACCCAATTTTTATGACTATTAAAGTCTAAAGAAATGTTTGGTTTTAGTGGTTATAAATCTGCATGACAACTTGGTATTGGATTTTAACATTATATCATCATCATCATGGCTTGTGACTTTTGGTGAATTGGATGAGTAACTTACGCGTTAACATAAACAGAGACGTTTGTACGCATTAATATAAGGATTAATTGGATTTTTAGTACATTTTTGAAACATAATTGTAGAAGTAGTACATTCACTATTTATTATTAGCAAACTAATACATTTTTACTATTTGAACACTATTTAAACACTATTAAAAATCCCCTTAAATCTAATAACTAAACTATTCATCAAAATATATTTGTTTTCTATAAAATTTTAATTACATAAAAATCTATATTTTTTTCACTATAATTTGATATGCATTTTTTTTTTAATAATTTCAAATTTTTTTCAAGCAAATTTTGATACGTCCAGCTATACTTATGTACAGTTGTGTGTCGATGTACGGAAAATCATTCGTACAGCGGTCTATATACACGTATAATTTTATGTGTACATATATTTTCTGGTCTATGTATGTATATTTGTTTATGTGTAAATATGTTTATTTGTAGTTGTTTCTCTTTGTACAAATATTTGATGTAAAATAATATGTTACTGTACAGTTGTCTGTCTGTACAGATATCTGAAATAGTAAAATTGTACTATTTTGCTAATTATGAATAGTAAATGTACTACCTTTACAATTATGTTTCAAAAATGTACTAGTTTGCCAACACACCCTTAATATAACCATAACGTAACATGTTACATATACAAATTATTCAAATTAAGAGGAATTAGAATTATCTCATTTTGACTTTTTTGCCTTAGACCATTAGATAAAAATCAGATACATCTATTCTTATTAACAGACCACTGATTAATCCATATCATCAGGAAAACCTAAAGAGACAACATAGAATACATGCATCTCTTGTAAATAAACATGGAATACTAAAGAAAACAAAAAGGGTTATAGAAGAATAGTGGAAATGAAAAAAATAGGGAAGATCAGTGAAGTCAGAAGAGTGTGGGAGAAGGTGACCATGATGCTGAATTGATAAGAGAGTGACTTCAAACTCTACAGCTGTTCTCACTCTGTCACTTTGTTTGTGTTACCCTATTCCAAACCGCGTTTTCCTCTCGTCACACTCTTCACTCACTCGTGGATATAGTTTTTATCTTCCTAATAATCCTCTAATCTTATTATTATTGTTTTCTTAAAAAACTTTATACTACTTTCAACACTAGTAATACATCATACTCATACTGTCATACATATTGATTATTGAACCTAAAAAAATTTGATATAACAAGCAATTGAAAAAGGAAAAGAAAAAAACAATAAAGCATATATATATATATAACTTTAGGACACGCAAAGAGCACATGATCGTAAGTAAGAAAAAGAGAGGAGATGACATGTTATTTTGTGGACAGCCTTGACTTTCTCACAAAGCCTAAGATTAATCATGGGATGGTGCTACTTTAATTTGTTGTCTTCGTCTTCTTTAGATTTCACACTTTGGTCTTAAGCAAAAACTACTCTCCAAGATGTCAGAGATCAGTTAGAGAAAGAGAGAATATGGGCAGTTTTTTTTTTTTGTCAGCTTTCCAGCCACAACATGCGTTTGCATGACGAGAAGAAGCATCTCGATCGTGGCTTCTTTCCATTTCACCTTTTTTGAGTCTTTAACTCTTATTTTCGTCTTTGACATGACTTACGTGAAACCTAAAATAGTTTTAACTCACACAAAAAGATATTACAAAGTTTGTGAAACAAATGGGATCTTTCTTGATGAATGCAAAAAATCCAATAAACTCTGGTTATATGTGTATTAATTGGCACCGTACTCTCTCTCCGTACCAATCGCCAAAGGCGACTACGAGGATCACCACGATACAGTCTCAACCTCAATAGTTTATGCATTTATTATTTTATGTAAAATTTATCATAGCATTTTAATTAAATAGCATGGAAAAGAAATTTCGAGGAAGATGAAGGTTTTTGTTTAAAATGAATATTTCATTAAATATGTACGTTGAAGGTTCAGCCATATTATATAATGGATCCAGTGAACTAGCTAAGGTTCAACCACCGAATCCTATTATTTTCTCTTCTTTCTTTTTGTATTATCTCTCAAATATCTATGATTTAGTCGGTTTTGAAAATGTTAAAAAAGATGTGGGGACATTATATAAGTTAGACCCCATACACATTTGTTTGGTAACAAAATTCACATATCTTGTTTTCGTCTACATTGAACACACACATATGACATATTTATTGGAATCTGTGTTATGAATATTATATGGCACCAATGCAAATGAGTAATCTACATAGGTCAATCACAAATTTGTTCCCTCTAGGCTCTAGATAAAATATATATACTTGTCCTCTGTTCATGTTCTCCTCCAGTGTTTACCATATAGTAAAAGATTGTTAATCAATCAACTAAGAGTAAGAAGAAGAAGCAAGTAAATATCGTTCTTAAAGTAAAAGTCGTTAACAAATGGCGAAAAAAACGAAGGTAGTTCGGAAGGCATTGCAAGCCCAAATTATATGAAGTATCATCGGCCATGCAAATACTCATTGGCCCATTTAAAACTCAGTTTGTTGTAATCCAGTAGGCAGGCCTGTTTATTTTCAAAAATTTGCCTTTAGTTCACATCTTAATTTTAGTTTAATTATTGCCCAAAAAAAAAAATTGTTTTAATTCCTTCTCTTTTTACGCTTACACTTACAAAAAATCATATCATATATTCATAAAACACTGAAATGGTTAAGATGTGAACATTTATGCTAATTCTATAACGCATAATTTATGCTTACATCTAATATATTATTGACCAGTTTCTAAAATTTTTTTAACACAATTTTTATTTATTTTTGCTTCGTTATGGCGCAAATGTTGATACACAAATTTGGCATTGTATAAGTTAACAAAACACAATAACAACCAATAATTTGGTTTTTAATTCAATCACTTTCACAATAATTCTTAATTCAATGTTTGTACATGTAATAGACGGCTCAAATTATTCATTCCACAGACTAATAACGATGGTAATTAAATGCAAAAATCGACTTTCAGAGGAAAGAGTAAATGGTAGCTTGAAAAAATAGTGTTAGGCCAATAAAATGAAACCCGCTAAATCATTAAGAAGGTAAAGAAGTCAACACAATAAACGCGCCACCTCCTTTAAAAGATATGCCACGTCGACCATTCTTCAGAACCTGATTGGCTCGTCTTACGTTGAAACAAGTCACCAAAACCCATCAAATCCTCTTGAACCAATCCCCACTCGCACACTTTAAACACGCGCGTGCGTGAACTCTTCTCTCGTCTTGTCTTCTTCGTCTCGTGTTTGGTTTTTGAGAGACTTTGTTTGACTTTTCTCTTTGGCTTTTGGTGGACCGTCGCTGCTCTCCGATGGCGATTAGTGGAATTGCTCAAGTTTCGAGGATTCTTACGGTGGTGTTGTTGTTGCTGACTGTTAATTACGGCGAAGCTATATGGTTGACGATTCCGGCGTCGGGAGGGACCAAGTGTGTCTCCGAGGAGATACAGAGCCACGTCGTCGTTTTGGCTGATTACTATATCGTCGATGAGCATAATCCTGAAAACACACCGGCTGTTTCTTCTAAGGTATGTATGCCCCCGATTGTGCTTGGAATTGCTTCAAAATTAAATCTTTTTGTTAGGAGATTGATTGGTTCTGTTTTGTGAGATTGATGAGCTCAAAATTGAAACTTTACTTCGATTTTAGGTCTCTCCTAGGGTTTTGTTTTGAGTTTTATTAAATTTTGTAGTGACTTGGTATGGATCAAACTCAATGATGTGTGTTATTGAGAGAGCCAATCATTGAAGATGAGCAGTGAATTTTCTTATAAAGATTTGAAATTTTAGTTTACTACATTACCAATATCTGACCATTTAAGCATATGACTGAAGGATGATGCATAAACTCAGACGGGTTCAATGTTTTGTGATTCTTCCGAAATTTTGGATAATCAGTTTTATGAATTTTCAAGTTCTTAGAGCTTTGAGGATGTATATTTGATTTACATGTAAATGTGGTTCATGTGTTAAATTATCATTGGCATAACATTTTTTTTTATGGTGGTTTGAATTTTCTGTGATTACTTTGGATAGGTAACATCTCCTTATGGGAACAATCTTCATCACCAAGAAAATGTAACACATGGTCAGTTTGCATTTACAACTCAAGAAGCAGGGAACTACTTGGCTTGTTTCTGGGTTGATTCCAGTCTAAAGCTAGCTAATCCTTTAACCCTTGGGGTTGATTGGAAGATGGGTATCGCAGCCAAAGATTGGGACTCTGTTGCTAAAAAGGAAAAGATCGAGGCAAGTCTTCTCTTCACATCTATTTTAACATAACTTCCCCTCTTCTTCTTTCATATATTAACTTCACTGTTGTGAATGTGTATTTGCAGGGTGTTGAGCTTCAGTTGAGGAGACTCGAAGGGTTAGTGCAAGCTATTCGTGAGAACTTAAAGTATATAAAAGACAGGTGTGTATCTTCAGCCTTGTTGCGATTTAAGTGTTTTCTCTTGAAGTCTGGGAATCAAATTGGGTAGTGATTGGGACAAGAACTTAATGATAAAAGCAATTTTTTTGGATACAGGGAAGCTGAGATGCGTGAAACGAGTGAAACAACTAACTCAAGAGTGGCTTGGTTCAGTATAATGTCACTCGGGGTCTGCGTTGTGGTTGCAGGTTCACAGATAGTGTACCTGAAGCGGTATTTCCACAAGAAGAAACTCATCTAAAACTTGGCTTGAAGGATACCTACCTACCTACTATATATATAGTAACAGCAGCACACATCCCCACCTTGAGAAGAGGGATAAGATCAAGTTTGTAGAGTCAATTGGTTTAAGATCGAAGAACGAACGCCTTTTCGTTTACATTTCAGTAAAACTTTAGATTGTGCACAGATCACTTTGTGTTTGTTTGAACTCTGTTGGAGTAGAAACAAAAATACAGTAATGTGACAATGTACCAAAGTTTTTATTTATTTTTTTCTCTGGCATTTTGAGGTAATCATTTAGTATCAGAAACATGAATGTTTAGTTAACGTGTTTCTCTATAATTAGCATGTTAGCTATATAAATCAAGATTAAAATAAAATAAAATTGGGTGACGTAGTTCTTGGACGGAAGACAAATCTGGTTATCATGTAGACAAGCTCCTTTGTATGTTATGTCCTTTTCTTTCATGTGTGGGGAAGTGGGAACAGTTAGACACTTAGAAATCGGATCAGAGCAAAAAAATAAGTTATATGTTTTATTCATAATGGAAGAACCAATACATTTTGGTTAGGTCATCTAAGAATTTACCACTAGTTTATTGACAACATTCTTTTCAAAACATTTATAAATGGCTAGTCAATGTAAAATATGTATTTTACTGTTGTTTTGCTGATATCACCTTCTTGTTCACTGGATCTTTTTTTTTTAATAACAAAAATATAAACAAAATATAAAGTTAATGCTATGCGAAATAATAGAAATTGGAATGTTTAAATTAATTTTTTAAAAGAAGAGGTGTAATCCATTAGCCTAAGTTATGGAATGGAGTCCAAGCATGAATCCAACTCAAAAGTCTTTTTCACTTTTGCCTAATCTCTTTCTTTTCGTACGTCATCGTACGAACCTCATACTTACCATTACCATTACCGTTAATCACTTTGATCACTTGTACCCAGAGTAAATTTTTCTCTCGTTTTACATTTTTAATGTCTTCTACATGGCGATCGATGCCTATATGTTAAAAGAATGAAAGAGTCATTATCATAGTTGATGCAAAAAAGAACATAGCATTCAAGAAACGAGACACATGTAGGATAAAATTTCAATAGAGTTATAGAGGCATGGCCTCGTGGGAGGCAATTTTGTGGCCTGACTCGCCTATAAGTGACGAAGGTTAGGCTCGATAATGAGCAAACGGTTCTGAATTGTTGCACACTCATGTACGGTCCACAAGTCCAACAATAGAGGATTGAACCCTATCTAGTGTAGCTAGCATATTCTTTCTTTTCCCACATAATTGTACATGTCTTCCATATAATTCTATTGGAATTGTGTTTTGCATGCGTCTACTAGTTTCATTTTCGGATGCTATGTATTTTCTAAACTTGAACTAATCAATAAGTTAAACCCGTAGAAATGTATCCAAGCAACCAGTCTTAGTTATATTCTTATAATTCTGTTAATATGTTACTACAATAAGATTCCACTACTAATGAAAAAGAACAGAAATCCAATTGGCTGGTAATGGGTTTCATACGACGTCATCGTTGTTTGTGACGCAAACTCGCAAAGTATGGGAATTAATTTCTATAGATTCGCAGAATGAACCATACTCCTTAGAAAGTATTCATTCTTGATGGCCATTGTTCCGATTTGCATTACATATATTAATCCTTAAAATTCTTCAAATATAAAGTTTCTTGTTTAGTAATGAAATATTTTCCAATGGAAGTGTAAAAGTCGATTCATCTAGATTTACACGATATCTTCACAAGCTATTAGCGAAACTTCTATGATGATATATCATATATCCTTTTGGAACGAACGATTAATATGAGAACTGAAAAAGGCACGTCATTATACTATATAAACCCCTAAAATGGTATCACATGGAAAATCAAACTTTAGAATAAAATGTGAAATGCTAGTCGATGCCCATATATATACTTAGGAGTAATATAAGTCGCATCCAACGATATAGGTAAGATATGTTCGAATAAAATTTCGTCGATTGAGAGGGAACATAGTAAGAAGAAGCATCTAAGTAACGTGGAAGATTGATGCCATGCTTAACTAGGCTAAACAAGACAACATAGATGATGTCCCTTTTATGTTATGTATCTTTCTTCTTATTTTTGTTTTATTTTTAAACATATATGCATACACAGTAGATGTTTTCAAAATTGCTAATTGTTTTTCTTTTGCATGCGTATTACGTTTGTTTATAATATTTTCAGGAACATAGAGAAACTAATCTTACAAATCTTTAATATCTTAGTTATGATTTATGAATATAAAATGGGAACACAAAAGCAGGCAGCCTTACTGATGACGGAAGGAAGAGCACTAGTAGCCGCGTCGCATTAAGAAGGACCTAACCACGCTTGTCGTTTCATGGGACGAATCACAACAAAAATGTATCACAAAAAGCACATTTATATTTTTGCTTTTGCTTCCTTATTTTAGGTTTTTTGCTTTCTTTCTCTTACGATAATTGTTTATTAATTATGGTACTCTTGGCCACCGTACAAAACGTGGTTCAATCTACTCTTATGACTATTTAATACAATAAATATGCAAACATCATCTATTTCATACTATATTGTATATACTCTCCTTTGGAATATTTCTTTGATATATTTTTTTGTACATTAATAACGTAGATTATGCAAATGATCTCGCATCTTTGTTAACACTCAAAAACTAAAAGAAAAAACTGAATACCATTTACAGTCTTTGTGAACGAGATGGTTAGTATATCAAGCGCCTGTGGACTTCCATGTACTTCTTCTCTAAATGTGGTACGAAAACTAACTATATATACATAATACATTAGCCTATAGAAAATATTAGAATTGATTAATCTTTTGGATGAGATGGTGTCCACTCTTCAAATCACCACAAGGTCCCCTAACAATTTTCGGCGACATGATGAATAGGTTTATGCACCCATTTTATTCTAAGCACTAAACACAACCGTCATTCGCTTCTACAATATTATGTTAAATATAATATTAAAATCACCTATCTCATCGTCTAAAATTCAATATTTTTGGGTCATTATCTACACGACACAACGGATCATTCACATACACCTGGCTCCACAAGAAAATAAATTCCCAAGTCATGAAAAATTATAATAAATTGTTTGAAAAATGAAAGAATCATGTGTCCCGTTATTTCTAGTACTTAAATATATTCTTATTTTGCACATACATAGATAGACAAATATTCGTGGTTAAAATTTGTTGATGCTGCAAAAAAAAAAAAAAAAAGGATTATGACTCACGTTACTCATGGAAACAATAATTAAATTGTTGCGAAATGTTTGTATATACATAGGTTGCATGATGTGTTATATATAACAAGAGGTTAAAAAAAAAAAATAACGAGGGTGAATAGCTTCGTGAATATTCAGGTTAATATTTCATTTCCTAGATTCGACAAGTGTGATGATGAGTGGATAAAAAATGGATGACGTCTGAGTGGATTGTATATAATACAGATAAACAATGTAAGTGCATGCTTTTTGATTCTTAGAACCACTATTTGCTTATAACTTACGGATATATATGGTTCGCCTAGAACGTGAAAGTCTAAATATAATTTGGTGCATATTGGTACATTACATGCTTTTCATTGGTACGATACTTTATGATTCGTTATCAATATAGTAATACTACATTGACGAGAACATTCTCATTAGTTATCTTAAATTAATGATCCAGCCATCTTATTTATCCGAAAATATTCCAAACAATGCGACATTATTTTTCGCACGCAAGTGTTCACAACCAATAGTCCAAAAATATAAATTAAGTAGGTACGTAACCAACGAAATTACGACCTAATCCGGTTTTGATTATCTAGAGCAGGAGTATAGTTTTTTTTTTTTTTTTTAGCAGGAGTATAGTTAGCCACACATAATTGATACGTACTTGATAACTTATAAAAAAATCTATATTTTTAAAAAGTGATGCTTAGATAACCAATGGACTGTAATATGCACTCGTATATTGCTTTTTGTGTCAGCACAATTTGGCTATATAAGCAAGTACCCTCTTGTAGTGTAAAACCATTCACAGTTCAAAACTAAGTACGCTTGAATAACATCAAAAACACCAAGAAAGAGAAACTTAGAGAGAAAGAAAAAAGAGATAAAATGGGGGGAGGGTTTATGAATAGTGTGAAACCATACTTATCAATGATATCTATGCAATTTGGTTATGCCGGTATGTACATAATCACCATGGTCTCTCTTAAGCACGGCATGAACCATTACATCCTAGCCGTTTATCGCCATGCAATCGCCACCGCCGTCATCGCTCCGTTTGCTCTTTTTCATGAAAGGTATATATATGGTTCTCTAGCTATCATATTTTCTCATTTGTTTGTAAACCGGCTAGTGATTTCAAACTGACTCACTAATTTTGTGTTGATTATGCAGGAAAATAAGGCCCAAGATGACTTTCCGAATATTCCTCCAAATTGCGCTGCTCGGTTTTATTGAGTAATACTCGTTAACTCATGTTATACATATCATTCTCTCTCACACACACACACAAAACATAGAAACACACAATATGTCGTCTTTATGCAATTTTTATATTGTTAATGCAAATATATATGAGTAGTAATATATCTTTTTTTTTGGTAATGACAGGCCGGTGCTGGATCAGAACCTCTACTACGTCGGGATGACTTACACGTCCGCAACTTTCGCTTCTGCTACGGCTAATGTCCTTCCCGCCATCACCTTCGTCTTGGCCATCATTTTCAGGTTTACATTTAAAAAAAAAAAGTTTACTTATGTTCCATAAGAAAAACATAATTATTGTTATCAACTTAATTAGTAAAATAATTACTAGTAGACGTTTTTACTCTCTGATAAATTACGCAGACTTATTTTACTTTGATTCTTATCTTGAGAATAATTTTGGACTTTTCCCAAACCGTGGGAACAAGATTAATGGAATCATAGGAAAACACAGTTAATATGTTCGTGGAACATGATACCACTTGAATAATTAATTATTATACACCAAAAAAGAGATATACTGGGTGAGATCATCACTTCCACTTACGTAACTTGTCATTATAATCGTCAAGTCTATAAAATGAATTAGGAATAACATAGAATATTACTGTTTGTTCATGCACACATAATTAGCTATAAGCTAGTCGTTTAATTAATTAACGGTTTAATTTCCTCTTTTTCTTAAAAAAAAATCAGATTAGAGAGTGTGAACTTTAAGAAGGTACGAAGCATAGCCAAAGTTGTGGGAACGGTGATCACAGTCTCCGGAGCACTTCTCATGACTCTCTACAAAGGTCCAATAGTTGACTTTATCAAATTCGGAGGTGGCGGAGGAGGAGAAGGAAGCGGGGACAGTGCCTCCCACGGTGGTGCAGGAGCGGCGGCGATGGACAAACACTGGATTCCGGGAACACTTATGTTGTTGGGAAGAACTTTCGGTTGGGCCGGTTTCTTCATTCTACAAGTGAGTAGTACCTAATTAATTTACAATTTTCCGGTATACACATTTAATTTAAACTTGGAAAAGAAATCAAATATTCTTAACCGGTTTTGTCTTATTATGTTACAACGCAGTCGTTTACACTGAAGACGTACCCAGCTGAGCTGTCACTAACAGCGTTAATATGTTTAATGGGAACGTTAGAAGGAACCGCCGTCTCGTTGGTAACGGTACGTGACTTGAGTGCTTGGAAGATCGGCTTCGACTCTAACCTCTTCGCCGCCGCATACTCCGTAAGTCTCTGATAAAGTTTAATCTCATGTTTATACGGCTAATGAATAATTGATGGTCTAAAGTATTAATTAGTGAACTAAACTAATGGTGATTAGGGTGTGATATGTTCGGGAGTAGCGTATTACGTGCAAGGAGTAGTGATGAGAGAAAGAGGACCAGTTTTTGTTGCGACATTTAATCCACTTTGTGTCGTTATAACTGCTGCTCTTGGTGTTGTTGTCTTGTCTGAAAGTATTCATCTCGGAAGGTATTTTATTTTTCTTTCTAAATTTGGTATATGACTTTTGAACCCAACTAATTAATTCGTTTCTGCTAAAATTTTCAGTGTGATTGGAACGTTATTTATAATTGTGGGACTATACACTGTTGTATGGGGCAAAGGCAAAGACAAGAGAATGACCGATGATGACGACGAAATGAGCAAAGGACTTCCGGTTAAAAGTCCGGTTAAACCGATAGATACCGATAAAGGCTTAGCTGGAGAACAGGAGATGGAATCAAAGGAAGGACATGAGACGAATAAGGTCACACAAGTTGAGGTTTGAGGACTCAAGCTGAGATATGATAATACTAATGTGTTAAACGGTGACAAATCAGTCTTTTTTTTTTTTTTTCTTTTTCTTTTTTTCTTTTTTTTTCTCTGTAACTTGTTTGTGCTTTTGCTTTATTTGCTTTCCAAGGTTACAGAGATTTTGGCAGATCATATGTAATATGATGAGATGAATCAATCATCTTGTAGTTTTTGTGAGATATGCAACTTCAAAAATAAATCAAAGAGATCAATAACCAATGTTTTGGTTTTACTCATCAACAATTTCACATAAGAGGTTTTAATGCGCGGAAAATAAACAATTGTTGTTGAATCAACATGAGAAAACAAAGGAGAAAGAAGCAATGGAGATGAGAAATGTGCAGAAGTAGTTAACCGAGAAGGCAGAGGCGGTTGAGGAGCTACCGGCTGGACCATTAGCTGGATTACCTGGGAAGGAACCACCGCTTGAAGGAAGCACAGATGATCTTGGCGAAGATGCTATCGATCCAGGACCATCAAAATCAGGTGAAGGTGCTGGTGCATACATTACATCCTTTGGAACAGTATCCGGTGGAGCTAGAAGAGGTGCAAATTGTTGAGGTCCTGCAATTTAAACATTGCACTTACATTAGATCGTATGATTCTAACACCTGGTTATCCTTTAAACAGACATATTGTTTAGACAGAACTTACCGGGACATCGAGGTTGAAGAGACCTGGTCAGCCTATAAAACGTAAAAAAAGAAAAGGTAAATAGTGTGGAATTATTAGTAGGGGTGTGTTGATAAGAGAAGACAATGTGAGTGTATGTCTACTTACATGGTCAAGATAGTTCCGTTGGCAAAACCATTGTAATCACAGGTTGTAACATTACAGCCAGCGCTACTCTGCTGCACTGTGATGTTACCAAGCATGAGGTTGCTGTTCCTACACTGCATACTTGAGCATGAGACAGCTAAAGAAGCAGGCTCACAATACAAACTGCATCACATTACACACAAACATCAGAAGTGAGTAAAAATGCAATCAGAGAAGATTTTATCAAATAACATAACTTGAGAGAGGAGAGAATCTTGGATATCATTACTTGCGACTCCCAAGTGCACAGCTGCACTGCACACAGTGACCTGCAGCTAGAGCGTAGCTACCATTTGGAACAATTAATCCGAAATCTGAGGCGTAGCTGGGGAACTTCGAAGCACAAGCTGAGAGGAGGTGAAAATACAACAAACCCAAACATTATTATAGTTTGCTATACAACAGAAAACTGAAGCAAAAAAACACCACTAAAGAGGCAAAGTTTTGGTAGCTCAAACACATACAATGCCAAAACAATGCCTTAACGAGAATCAAAACACACAAAGCAACCAAAACAGCAATTAAAGAAACAATCAGAGTCCACAAAGCTAAACCAAAACTTCCAATATGGTAAACAGAACAGACTCCAACTAACAATAAAAACTACTTACCATTATACATGACCATAAAGATAGATTTTGTAAATCCAAATTCAGTATTATAGGGACCTCACCTGACAAAGGAACAGCGAGAATATCTCCAGAACTAACATCAGGACCTCCCATAGCATTCACATTCATCAAATCAGTAATAGTAGTCGAATACCTCCTCGCGATTCCGACCAATGTATCAATCTCCTTCACAACATACGACAAATAAACAGCGGGCAAAGAATTGTCGGTGCCATTGAAACAAGCGCAAGGCAAGGGTACTACAAGACTCGTCCCAACATCAAGCAACGAAGGGTCATTCACCGAGTTAGCTTCCTGGATCTGCTCGGCAGAGACCAAACCTCCGTAAACAGAGTCAGCAATCGAACCTAGAGTATCAGAAGGCCGGGTTTTGTAATGGGTGGAGACAGATTTCCTGATTCCGTCGACGCAGGAGCAAGTGATTGGGATTTTGAGGAAGAGCTTGGAAGGAAGGATATGGTTCTCGACGTCTGGGTAAGAGATATCGATGGCGTTAGCTAAAAGGACTGAGATTGGGTCAACTTGGAAGAGAGATGCCACCTCCGAGACTTTGAGGTCGGTGTAGAGTGTGTAGCCGAGTAAAGAGTTGCAAGTGTCGTTGCTTGAGCAAGGTTCGATTGTTGATTTCGCCGTCGCAGTGAAGAAGAAACTCGAAGCTAGAATCAGAGAGACGAAGATGGAGATAGAGATGGAGATGGGTGCTTCGGAGTTTTTCATCTTCCACTCTCTCTAGGGTTCTAAGAAATTTCAAAATCTCCTAGGGTTTTTAATAACTATCTCTCTCTGACAGGACAATGACAAGAGAGTAGTACAACAGACAAGAGTAAGTTCGAACTATCCAAAAATGAATCTGGAGATTTTAGGGGTTTGGTATTTTAGAGAGAATCTCTGTTTTTTCTTCTAGAGATGGAGAGAGAGAAGAAAAGTTTTAAACTTTTTTTGAAAAGAAGAGAGAAGAGAGGAGACTCTGAAGAAGAGGAAGAAGGAGACAAGTGTGTTGTACAGAGTGAACAGAAAACGGTAGCTTTGCGATCTCCAAGACAGACATCTTTTTTCATAAGCTGTTTTGACTGATTTGCCCTTTACTTTTTTAGCCGGTTTAAAAACCGAATAAGGATATGGCGGTAAATTCTGCAACATAAGTTGAGGCCCACTTGGAAAAAGAGAGCCCATTTTAACTTTGTGGGAGAAGCGAAAGCAACGAATGTGATTAGCTGTTGTGTTGTTTTGAGTGCTTAAAAGAGCTGCCGCATTAATACTCTTTCCCCTCAAACACGGTCTGTCTTAAGCTCTCTCTTTCAGAATTAGCTTGTACAAGTTTGGTTGGTTGTATTCTTTGTCAATTTTGCTAAAAGCTTAGGTTATGTGATATCACTACCATAATTGAATACAACATGGACCATGTGGTCATCTCTGAGTTGGTCTTGATGAGGGAATTATTATTAGTTCTATTATATGGGATGCAATTTATGTAGCTAACACGAGGGAAGAGTAACTTCTTTCTCTAATTTCTCTGGTTTGAGTAGAAAAGAAAACATATAGTTAAGCTACAGGGGATGTTCAAGATAAAATCTAACTCCTTTGGTTAAGTACTTCTCAGTATGGAGACATTACTGATGATATTCAAACTTTACTCTCTAGTTTATCATTAACAAGAGGAATCAGTTCTATTTTGTTCTTTGGGGTACGAGGAGTACGAGGTGTCCTGGGAGTTCCTGGTTGTTGCTGAGAAAGCATGTGGTTTACATATCCATAAAAAGTGCATCCCACTAGTGTGATTCCGCATCCAACAGCATTCATTGGTGATATCGGGTTTCGGAATATCATCCATGATATCAACACAGCTACAGCAACCTACAAATCACATTGCCATCTATTGTGGATAACTTCGTATATTGTGTTAAGTTTATCTTCTTATTGTGATAAGGATTAGCAGCCCTAAAGTGTATAGGATTAGGGCTTATTTTAGAGGCTAAGTCTCTTGTATAAATACACAAGTTCATACATTAATAAAGTCAAGTTGGTTCGATATCTAATTCTACATGGTATCAGAGCTAAGATCTAAATAAAAACAACTTCAAAACTTTTCTGTTCTTTGTTCGTAGTTTCTCTTTCTTGTGTGACAAGTAACGATGTCTGGTCTTGAAGATACATCATCGTCACGTCCTGCAGTGCAGCAACCGGATGCATCAGTGGTGTCTCCCTATACCTTGTCAAGTTCCGACAATCCAGGGGCTATGATCTCATCGGTTATGTTAACCGGTCCTAATTATAATGAATGGGCAACGGAGATTATGAACGCACTCCAAGCTAAACGCAAAACTGGTTTCATCAATGGCTCGATTCCTAAACCACCTCCTACCGATTCTAAGTTTGAAGATTGGATGACGGTTAACTCCATGATCGTTGGTTGGATTAGGACTTCTATCGACTCCAAGGTGAAATCTACTGTCACGTTCATCGCCAATGCTCATCAACTATGGACAGCCTTGAAACAACGTTTCTCTGTTGGAAACAATGTTCGTCTTCATCAACTCAAAGCTCAGATCGCGACGTGTCGACAGGATGGTCAGTCCGTGGATGAGTATTTTGGAAGATTATCTTCCTTCTGGGAAGAATATTTAATATACAAGCCGATCACTGTGTGTTCTTGTGGCTTGTGTACTTGTGGAGCAACGTCGTCTCCATCAAAGGACTGGGAAGCCGAGAAGATTCACCAGTTCATCTTACATCTTGATGAATCTAGATTTGGAAGTCTTTGTTCTTCTTTGATTTCGTTGGATCCTTTTCCATCTCTTGAAGAAATTTATAGTCGTGTCATAAGAGAAGAGCAACGGTTGGCTTCTGGTCGTCTTCGTGAACAAAAGGAGGAGGCTGTGGGCTTTCTCGTTCGTTATGATGGTTCCAGCAAATCCGACTCGGTCGTCGGGAAAGGTCGTGTCACCTGCTCTCATTGTGGTCGTACCGGCCACGAGAAACAAAATTGATGGCAGCTAGTAGGTTTCCCGGACTGGTGGATCGAGCGAGCTGAAAAGAACAATGGTGGTCGAGGTTCCGGTGGACGTGGTCGTGGTGGTAGAAGTTCAACCGGTACTGGCCGCGGACGAGGACAAGCTCTTGCTGCACACGCAACCAGCTCCAACTCCTCTGTTTTTCCTGACTTCACACCGGAGCAGCTGAAAGCTCTCTCTCAATTCCTTCATGCCCAGTCCAACAACACGACCTCTAGTAATGAGAACTCTGACAAGTTGTCTGGTAAGATTAAGTTTGGTAATGTTATTTTGGATACGGGTGCCTCACATCACATGACCGGGACCCTTTCTCTTCTTACCGATCTCGTACCTATGCCACCAAGTCCTGATGGATTTGCTGATGGTAGTAAAGCTTTTGCAATAAGCATGGGGGTTTTTCCACTCTCCAACAAAGTCAAGTTGACTAATGTTCTCTTTTTGCCTTCTCTAAACTGCACATTGATTTCTGTTTCAAAGATATTGAAACAAACAAAGTGTCTTGCCTTGTTCACTGACACTCTTTGTTATTTACAGGACCGGTTTTCGAAGACTTTGATTGGAAGCGGTGAAGAGCGTGATGGTGTGTATTTTCTTACGGATGTTGCTACAGCCAAGATACATGTGGCCAATGTTGTCTCTGACCAAGCTTTGTGGCATCGACGTTTAGGACATCCGAGTTTTTCAGTGCTTTCTGCTTTACCTTGGTTTTCTCGTTCATCTTCTTCTCCTAGTTCTAAGTCTTGTGACATATGCTTTCAAGCTAAACAAACACGAGCTGTTTTTCCAGAAAGTATTAATAAAACCACAGATTGTTTTTCAATGATTCATTGTGATGTTTGGGGTCCGTATCGGATTCCTTCTTCTTGTGGAGCAATTTATTTTTTAACAATTGTGGATGACTACTCAAGAGCTGTTTGGACCTATCTTTTACTTGAAAAATCAGAGGTGCGAGGTGTTCTAACAAATTTCTTGAAGTACACGGAAAAACAGTTCGGCAAATCCGTCAAGATAGTTCGAAGTGATAACGGGACATAATTCATGTGTCTTTCCTCTCATTTTCGTGCAAATGGTATCATTCATCAAACTTCATGTGTTGGTACTCCTCAGCAAAATGGACGTGTCGAACGTAAGCATCTTCATATCCTTAATGTTGCTCGAGCACTATTGTTTCAGGCTAGTTTGCCTATCAAGTTTTGGGGAGAAGCTATACTTACTGCTGCATATTTGATCAATCGCACTCCATCTTCGATTCATTCTGGTCGCACACCTTATGAAATTCTTCATGAGAGTAAACCTGATTATGAGCAGCTTCGAGTGTTTGGTTCCGCATGTTATGTACATCGTCTCACTCGTGATAAAGACAAATTTGAACAGCGGAGTCGTCTTTGTGTTTTTGTCGGCTACCCGTATGGAAAAAAAGGTTGGAAGGTGTTTGATATGGAACGTGAAGAGTTTTTGGTGTCTTGGGATGTTGTCTTTCAAGAAGACGTATTTCCTTACTCAACTTCATCTTCTTCTCCGCCTGTTACCACTTCACCCGCGATCACCGACGACAGTGACTGGTTGTTTCCGTCTTCTCAAGTCAGGGGGAGTTCGGATACTAATACTTCAGAGTCTGTTTCTTCTCTAGATCGAGACGACGCTTGTGACGAAAACAGAGCCATTGATTCCCGTGGTGTTGTGGTTGTCTCTCAACCACCGGATTCTATAAATGCAGGCTCTGACTCGCACTCTCCAGCCACTGTCCTAGCACCACCCACTCCAGTCTCTCCATCGGTGGCTACATACTCCAGTTCTGACCTAAACTCTTCTATTGTGCCTGTCGCACAAACTGTTCCGCAACCACAACCAACACAGCGCAAAAGTCAGCGTTCGTTGCAGCCTCCTGCTCGCTTAAGTGATTATGTTCTTTACAACGTCAAATACACACCACCTTCTACACACGCTCTTCCCGAATCCTCATCAATGTCTTCGGCACCAGTCCCCGGTACGTCTCTGTTCCCTTTCACTGATTATGTCTCTGATGAGCATTTTTCTTCTAGTCATCGAGTTTTTATGGCAGCTATTACTTCTAATATTGAGCCAAAGCATTTTAAGGAAGCTGTTAGAGTAAAAGAATGGAATGATGCCATGGCTAAGGAGGTTGATGCTCTTGAGGTTAATAAGACTTGGGATTTGGTTGATTTGCCACCTAACAAACATGCTATTGGTTGTCAATGGATTTATAAGACCAAATACAATGCTGATGGTACTGTGGAGCGTTACAAGGCACGGTTGGTTGCCCTTGGTAATAAACAAGTTGAGGGGGAGGACTACAAAGAGACCTTTGCACCGGTTGTTCGTATGACAACGGTTCGTACTTTTCTTCGTCATATTGCTGCCAATCAATGGGAGGTTTATCAAATGGATGTTCACAATGCCTTTCTTCATGGTGATCTCACTGAGGAGGTCTACATGAAACCTCCACCGGGATTTCGTCATTCTCATCCAGACAAAGTTTGTCGTCTTCGAAAGTCATTGTATGGCTTGAAACAGGCTCCTCGGTGTTGGTTTAAAAAGCTTTCTGACTCGCTATTACGGTTTGGTTTTGTTCAATCCTATGATGATTACTCTTTGTTCTCTTACACCAAGAAGGGCATTGATCTTCGGGTTTTGATCTATGTTGACGATCTTCTCATTTGTGGTAATGACGCTTATATGGTTCAGAAATTTAAGGACTACTTAAGTCGTTGTTTCTCGATGAAAGACTTGGGGAAGCTCAAATATTTTCTTGGCATTGAGGTGAGTCGTGGGCCTGAGGGCATTTTTCTCTCCCAACGTAAATATGCACTCGACATTATTACGGATAGTAGTGATCATGGTTCTCGACCAGCTTCTACTCCTTTAGAGCAAAATCATCATCTTGCCACTGATGATGGTCCTTTACTTAAGGAACCGCGACAGTATCGTCGTCTTGTTGGTCGATTGTTATATCTTCTTCATACCCGGCCGGAGCTGTCATATTCTGTTCATGTGTTATCACAATTTATGCAATCTCCGAGAGAAGCTCATATGGATGCTGCGTTGCGTGTGGTTCGTTATTTGCAAGGTTGTCCTGGTCAAGGGATATTATTTCATTCTACCAAAGATTTAACGTTAGAGGTTTATTGTGACTCGGATTGGAGTACTTGTCCGCTCACTCGACGTTCTCTTAGCGCTTATGTTGTTTTACTTGGTGGTTCACCTATTTCTTGGAAAACTAAGAAACAGAATACAGTCTCTCATTCTTCCGCCGAAGCCGAGTATCGGGCAATGTCATATGCTCTTAAGGAAATAAAATGGCTTCGAAAGTTGTTAACAGAATTAGGCATCGACCAAGCTGCGCCAGCTCGTTTGTATTGTGATAGTAAAGCAGCAATTCATATTGCTGCAAATCCGGTTTTCCATGAGCGTACTAAGCATATAGAGAACGATTGTCATGCTGTTCGTGATGCGGTTCGTGACGGCATCATTTCTACACAACATGTTCGTACAACGGAGCAACTTGCCGATATTTTCACAAAGGCTCTCGGTCGAGATCAGTTTTATTACATTATGTCCAAGTTGGGCGTTCAAGATCGTCACACTCCAACGTGAGGGGGAGTATTGTGGATAACTTCGTATATTGTGTTAAGTTTATCTTCTTATTGTGATAAGGATTAGCAGCCCTAAAGTGTATAGGATTAGGGCTTATTTTAGAGGCTAAGTCTCTTGTATAAATACACAAGTTCATACATTAATAAAGTCAAGTTGGTTCGATATCTAATTCTACACCATCCATCAAAACATATCGAGTTAGATTTTTCAACAGTTTGGAACAATCAGAAGAAAGATTTTTGTTATGGGGTTTAGGATTTGTTCATTTACCTTAAGGTTTCCAGCTACATTGAATGTGACTGCTGTTGTGGAGTGGATGACATAGAAGATGGAGAAGTTAAGGCAGAAAGCTAGAACACCTGAGCTGAATATAATGATGAGAGCCGACCATGGAGACGGATGTGCTTCAAACCACTCCAAAATTCCATTGCCTTCAAGTAAAAATGCTGGTACTCCAAGAATCATGGTCGCAAAAGGCGCCATATAGTATACCGTGTTTATGCTAAATAGAGAGACATGACAGTAAGGAGGACACAAACACTACACGCAGTTCCATGAAATAGGAAAACAGCAATTCAAGCAATTCATAATTGGACAATGAAGGCATGACATGCACACGCAAATGTAAGGTTATATATTATCAACACCCATCATTTGAAATTGAAGATTAAAAACCTCAGAAAACATAACACTAACCTATCAAATTTGTATCCATGAAGAAGAGACTCAGCAAGAATGGTCTTTGTAGAGGTAGCTAAACATCCAAACAGAGCAGCACAAAATCCAAACACATTAAAGCTAAGTTCTGTAATAGAAGTCAGAAGAATCCCACCAACAATAGGCACCAACGACGCCCAAATACGCCAATCAAAATATTTCCTCCATACCAACCACTGTAACACAACTGCACATTACACAAAAACCACTCAGGAAACAAACAAAATCACTCCCATTTCTACGACTTCCCAATCTCAAAAAACTCAGACCTGTTGTTGCGGGAGTGAAAGATTTGATAGTCTGCATAAAAGAGACAGGAATGTATCTAAGACTGATATTTCCCAACACAATGTTGATACAGAACACAAATGACATTGGAAAAATCCTCTTCCACCGATCTTCTGGATCAACCACGATCAAAGGTTTAAGCTTTAAGACTTTAATCACAATGTAAGCTCCAATCGATGAACATATGAAATGAACACATGAAACCGAGAACGGAAACTTGAAATCCAACTTCTGCAAACAGGAATTGTCAAAAAGGAAAGGTAGCACATTTCGAACACAGATCAGATCAAACAAACGAAAAAGCTATGTCTTTTCATGATGAAAGCAAAGAAAGAGACTTTTTAACCTGAAAGATCCATTTGTTCATGATGATAACAGTAACGTTAAAACCCCACCATTGAAGAATCGCTAACAGAGATCTAAACATACTCCATTGTTGCCACAGACTTCCTTCCTCCATTCTTCACTCCCTAATCTTCGTCTATGATTCGCCAAAATGTAAAAATGGAGCCACGGAATCAAACCAAAACCCAGAAATTTTCGAAGGGTGTTGAGAAGAGAAGGATCCAAAAGGATGAAACTTTTTTAAGGAAATGCCAAAGCTAATTAAGAAACCCTAATTAAAGCGCGAGAGGGAAGAGTGTAACGGTAGCAGTCTTTATAAGCTCTCTCTGCTTAATGCTTATATGCGATTTGTTTCGAATTCTCTCTCTGTTCTGTTTCGTATGTTTTCCATGTAGTAGTTAAATGCAAATATCGTTACCAATTTTACTTGTTACAATTATAAATGTAACTAATTTAGCTTAACAAGCTTTTCGCATATATTAAAGTAATCAGTTTAACTTAATAATGATACAAAACATAGATATATAACGTATCCATTAATTAATCAGTGTGAAACTTGTGCTTATAGCATCATTGTAAATAATGTATTACAATCATCAATAAACTGCAAATTTTCTTTCACACTTGAGCTGCTGCCATGTCGTTGCGACTCTGAAAACTTCAAATTGGAATGTTTTTCTTTTGTTGTCTCTTGCTTTTGCCGTGGTGAGAATGTTGGGTTGATGGTGTAGATGATTTAGATATGTTAATAAATATTATAATTTTTAAAATGGCTTTTTCTTAAATATTATCATTTTATTTATATGAATTTACATACAAATGATTTTTTTTTGAGTTGATACACAATAAAGAGATGTAAGAAAAACATTTAGATTTATACAAAATTTTCTTTAATAAGTTTTTTTCTTGATAAAATCTATTTGAAAATTATCCTATTTGGAAAGCTAAAAGTCAACCTATTATCCTATATCTTAATGATTTGTAAAAATTAGTAATAAATAAAAAAACTTACTTTAATTTTATTTATTTTGATACCTTACTTTATTTGACAAAGGGGTGGTCAAGAAAATAAATGTGTGTGTGCATATCTATATTTTATTGCCATGTGTGTGCATATTTTAACATAATTTAAAAAAGAACTTTTGCATGCGGATATGGAAGGAAACACAAGTCCATCAGGATATATTTGTTCTCCCACATCACAAATTGTATCATCTTGTCAAACATAAAATGGAGGTCAAAAGTATGAACACTACGGCGACGATGATCAGTCTACTGTTTCTAATCGGCGTCGTTGCTTCGGAAGACCCGTACAGATTCTTCGAATGGCACGTAGCTTATGGCAACATATCCCCTCTCGGCGTTACGCAACAGGTTCTTATATTCATTTTTTTTGGCTTTTGGTGATTTGGTTGGATATATCAATTTGGTAATTTACCATTGTTATATATTTCAAGTAGGGTATATTAATCAACGGGAAGTTCCCAGGACCGGACATCGTCTCTGTTACCAATGACAATCTCATCATTAACGTATTCAACCATCTGGATGAACCTTTCCTTGTGTCATGGTATGTCTAGTTTATTCAGACTTGAGGATTAATTATATGAAAATCGATCACATAAATTTAAATGCGTCTGCATGATGATAACCTGAATTTTTTTTTAGCAAAGGTCTCAGTGCTCGTATTTGATGTTTTTTTTTTTTTTTTTTTAAAGGAGCGGGATCGAAAATATGAAAAATTCGTACCAAGACGGAGTGTATGGAACAACGTGCCCAATCCCACCGGGGAAAAACTACACATACGCTCTTCGTGTTAAAGATCAGATCGGAAGTTTCTACTACTTCCCGTCGCTCGGATTTCACAAAGCCGCCGGCGGATTTGGAGCTATCCGTATCTATAGCCGCCCCAAGATCCCTGTCCCATTCCCTGCTCCCGCAGATGATTACACCGTCCTCATCGGCGACTGGTATAACACAAACCACAAGGTACATTTCTCCTAGCTCTTAGGTTTAATTTGAAGCAAGAAAATGGGACTAATTAGTGATGTTTGTATTTTGGACAAATTAGTAATGTTACATGCATGGTGTATGGTGTATCTACGTATATACTTAACGTTGTTGCTTGTTGCAATTTTGAATTAAGTTTTGAAATCTCTCCTTGTAGGATTTGAGGACACAACTCGATAATGGTGGAACGCTTCCTTTACCGGATGGGATTCTCATCAATGGTCGTGGTAGTGACGCCACCGTCAACGTTGAACCAGGTTAATTTCGCTCTTTAATTTATTTTGTTTTGCTTGTTTCTTGGTGATTTTCTAACAATAGTATTAATAAGTTATGATGTGAATTTTTTTGTAGGTAAGACATATAGACTGAGAATATCAAATGTTGGATTGCAGAACTCTCTCAACTTCCGAATCCAAAACCACATGATGACGTTGGTTGAGGTCGAAGGGACACACACTGTTCAGACTGCCTTCTCTTCTCTTGATGTTCACGTTGGTCAATCTTACTCAGTCCTTATAACAGCTGACCAGCCTGCCAAAGATTATTATATTGTGGTCTCTAGTAGGTTTACCTCGAAGATCCTCACCACTACGGGTGTTCTTCATTACAGTAATTCAGCTGGACCTGTTTCTGGACCTATTCCAGATGGACCAAATCAGTTGAACTGGTCTTTAGACCAAGCAGGATCCATCAAGTAACTTTTTTAATTATTTGATTCACTGAAAAGTACTACTATAGTTGGTTTTGCTTACTCCATGGTGACAACATGTATGATTCCTAGCTTTTTTTTTTGTGTCTTGTAGGACCAACCTTACAGCAAGTGGACCAAGGCCAAACCCTCAGGGTTCATACCACTATGGTATGATAAAGGTCACCCGAACGATCAGACTTGCTAACTCTGTTGGAAATATCAACGGCAAACAACGATACGCCGTAAATAGTGCATCATTTTATCCGGCAGAAACCCCTTTGAAACTAGCGGACTACTTCAAAATTGACGGTGTATACAGGCCTGGAAGCATACCTGACCAGCCTACATATGGAGCAATGTTTCCAGTCACTTCTGTAATGCAAACTGATTACAAAGCTTTTGTGGAGATTGTTTTTGAGAATTGGGAAGATATTATCCAGAGCTGGCACTTTGATGGTTACTCTTTCTACGTGGTTGGGTAAGTTTAGTATTATTATCCAACTGAGGAAATCATTAGTTTTATACATTTTCTAGATGAATATTGATGAACGTTATACCATCTGTGTACACTTGGTCTAACTATTAGAATGGAGCTTGGGAAGTGGAGTGCTGACAGTAGAAAAGTTTACAATCTTAATGATGCAGTCTCGCGCTGCACTGTTCAGGTGAGAGTCTTCTTAAACCTTAATATTTTGATCACAATGTTGGCCATAAAATGTCAGTATATATGTGTTTGTGTAAAATGTACATGAACTGTTGAATGAATATGTACAGGTGTATCCAAAATCATGGACTGCGATATACATATCTCTGGACAACGTAGGAATGTGGAACCTGAGATCAGAGTCGTGGGAAAGACAATACTTGGGACAACAATTCTACATGCGTGTTTACACAACCTCCACTTCTCTCAGAGACGAATACTTGATTCCCAAGAACGCTCTTCTTTGCGGCAAGGCCAGCGGCTTTAACGTGAGTGAAGTGAGAGACAACGATCAATATTGGGAGATAAAGAATAATATCTTTCAATAAACTCAATGTTATACTTCCTAAACTTAATATTAACATTTATCAATAATCTTCTAGAATAATATCTTCTCGATTTCCATATTTTGGGGTTGACATCTCGACCGTCGATTTAGGTCAATCTCCTATCTTTATCTCCCAATAATCAATGGACGATTGCAAATTTGCAATAAATATTATCTGAAAAACAGTTGGATATTTCTTTTGTGTTCTTGGTCTTATATATTTAATTTTATAAATAAAATACTTTCGTTAATCTGTACCTATAACCTAATGTATTATAAAAAAATAGAAATGAGTAAAATTGCAACTGTGTAAAATTTGAGGTACTAATGAGATATAATTCAATCCATTGTATTATAGGTTTTATTCAACTGAGGTTACATCATGTGCTCTTAGATATAGGTAATGGTTGTAATAACTTTCAGGGCATAACGCAGTAAATATACATTTTATAGACCTGCTTGACATATACTATAAGTCTATACGAAGCTGTTTGCTAGTTGTCGTCCAAAATAAAGAGTTTTGAAAAAGTGATTAATGGAATCTATATTTGTTATGTGGACTTGTTGTTCACGATACTATATGTTAAGAGAATTATTTCCATAATTAGGGTAAGGGTTAACTCAAGTCAAAAGTAATTGCTATTCTCGTACATAATTACAAATTATGAAGAAACCATTTGATCAATTCATTTGGCAATACGACGACGACATAAGAATATCATGACTTCTTTGTCCAAAAAAACAAAAAAAAGAATATCATGACTTCATGAGAATTATTCCTCAACTTTCAATTTATAAAGAAAAAAATGGAGGATGGGATCAACACATATAAAAAAAAACATGAGATTTACATAATCATAGTAAAAATTATTATTAGTTCAAATATTATATGATTTGGACCAGGTAAAACATATAAGTGAAACAAACAACGATCTATCACAATGATAGTTTCCTAATGTTGGAATAGAAAAAAAGGACTTCTATAAATGAAACCTCGTGAAGATATGATCGAAACAGTAAGAGTCTAAACTATGAAAAGACGATCACATATACGATCTGCCATGAAAAAAGTAAAATAGACCCATACAATTTGCAACACAGTCATTCCATTGAGAAGGATGAAACGTGGAACTGCCCTGGAAAGACTTAACCAAACAATCCCAAAGAAGGTACTCGAGACAACGTTGGATACGAGAGAAATCTTCAAACAAGCCATGATCAAACTTTCCACCCTTTGAATCCAAGCAAGATCAGCCTGATGAGGAGCTTGTCGAGCTGCGAGAAGAGCTGACACTGGGGGGAGAGTGATTAAAAGTGCTAACTGACTCAAAGCCTTAAAACACTTTCCTGCTACGTGCATGCATCGAAGGTTCATGGTTGTAGGCTCTGGATCTGATGGAGTGAGACCGATTTGTGGCACGAGCATGAATGCGAATATGTTGAACATGATGACGAAGGCTAGTCTCATACGACGAACACGATTGTCCACGACCAGATGGTGTAGGCGATCAATGTTCATTTCTGAGCTAATTAAATTTGGGATGAAACAAATTGTAAGGAAAAAGAAAAAAAAGTGTTGAGAAGTTTCTCAAGATCAAATGGTATGTGTCACTTGATCACATACGGACAGCTTCATTTATAATAGTTAGACTTGGTTTACAGAAGAAAACCTGGTTACATATTTGCTTTTCTTTCTGATTTTCGGTTCAAATTTTGATTATAATCGGTTTGAATCCTATCGTCCAAAATATTGTGTTGATTGTGGATGATAGTTGTAAGTAATTTTCTATATACTGTACGTAGATGTATGAGTCACACCTAATATTTTCACTAATTTCTTCATCAGTATGGTATTTATAGTAAGTGATCAAGAAAAGTGGTGCATACGTATGATATTTTTAGTATCGATCAAGAATAATGGAGCAAAGTGGAGGCTCATTTCTCCACAACAAAAAAGAAACTAAGCTATTTCCAAAATAAAAAGTGCAAAAGAAAGTAAACAACTCATCTTTTTTACATGTTCTTACCTCACATGAAAAATATTATGATTTATCAAGAAATTGTCTTTTAAACGCAAGGGACAAAGAGTAAAAAACAAAGAAAAAGAAGAGAGAAGAATATTTCCTCATTTAGCACACCGCTTCTATCACTAATCTCTGAGTACTTTGAATATTTGTATTTATGTATGCACAAATTAATAACACGATTAACCTTTTTACCAAAAAACTAATAACACAACAAGCAATAATGAAGATATGAATATAAATATGATGTAGATTAATATGTGTGCACAATTCTATAGCGTTTATGGTTTAGTGGATTCTACTGCATTTGTATGTATAGCAATTCGTTCTGCTTATTTTATATAAGATGGTTTTATACATGGTACACTAAAACATGCGCGATCAAAAAATATGAAAAACTTAAAGCAATGTTTTTATAATTAATTCGACTTGATTTGATTTTCTTACAGTTCAATTGAAACCAAACGAGAGACTGACCGGCCGGTTTTTGTATAAACCGAATAAAATATTTTTGCGGACATATAAATGATATTCACTAGTGCTAATATTCACCAATCGTAATGTTGTTGGGTCTATCTAGTTCTCGTCGGGAATACTTTTTTTTGACATAGACACTTGTTTTATGGAAGTATTTGTTTCATAAGAACAATGAACATGTACATATTATGGAGATCTTAAACAGATACAAACGTAAAACATGCAGAAAATAAAATAATGGGAGTTTCCGTAATTCAGAACCAGTTACATGCCTTAGGAAAATTTTGACAAAACTTGTTGATACCACCATCGCCTTCACCAGGAGGGAAAATAACTTTTTCCTTACTGATTGCTTGTTTGTTGCAGTCTTTTTTACAAGTTTCTTCACAATGTGTAGGAGTAGGTTTTTTCGCCGATTTTGAGCATTGATAGAGGCAATGTTTCACACACATTCCTACGTCGCGTGAATGAGCAATATCTGCCGAGAACATCATCGTCAATATAGCTACAACCATCAAAACATTGCATGTTTTCTTCAACGCTTGAGACGCCATATCGTAGGATTCTTTTATTGTCTTGTGATGATGATTTCTGCAAATGCTAAATTTGAGTATTATACTCTTTGTTTCTAATTTGTGAAAAAGATGATTTGGTGGGAAATGCTGGGATTCATCTAGGTGATTTATATAGTAAAACTAGTGTTGACTATAATTAGCAAATTGTTATGTTTACAGCCAACAAATCTTATAGAGCTTAGTTGTTCTTTGATTTTTGTTGTTGTCAAAACAGTTATTCTTGCCATGGATGGGAATATCAAATTCTGATATATATGGCAGGGGCGGACCCACATACATGTTAGTGGGGGTACATGCACCCAGCAACTTATTAAAAACAAAATTTTTTACTATACAAATAAAGTTTCATGTGGCAAAATGGTTAATATGTCCCCAGTAAATATTTGAAGTCATGGGTTCGAACCTCCTTTAGTGCAGTTTGCACCCATTTAATTTTTTTTCTGGATCCGCCCCTGTATATGGCAGTTTGGTTCATTCTGTAACCACATGTGACATGTTGTTACGAATTTTCTGATATATATATATATATATACTAGTCGGTTGTCCGCGCTACGCGCGGGAGTTTATTATGTTGTTTATGAGTAATTAGTTCGTATTTTATTTTCTACTTATTTTTTTCACTATACCATACTTTACTTTTTTAAAACTTAAATTGTGTTTGTATAGAAAAACTATTGAATTTTAGCTTCATTAGTTGTTGAGAAATTAAGTGTGTATAGTATAAGTCGAAGTGTGGGCGTAAATGGAAGTGCGGTTGAGAATCATTGAGAAACGTGTGCTATTAGGGTTTTTACCAAATATAGATCTAGATGTTAATATTTTGGGCCCTTTTATATGTTGGCAAGAAATTTGAACATGATTTGTGGGTTTCGGGCGGATTGTTATATTTTTAAATGTTTACATTATCTCTTTATATATTGTCATAATTTATTATTTTATTTTTTAAGTTTTCCTTTTTTGGATTTGTCGTACTTTATATCTCGTATTAAAATTTATATACTATTATATTTTTTTCTGATTTTAGGTCTTGTATAGTTTTTTGTTTTTTTCATACGGAACAATT